AGATATTTATGGATTGGATCACGAAATGCAGTGGAGAAAAAAGTATTACATTGAAAATCATATGTGAGAAAAATCGTCATTTCCACGACTTTTCGTGAAAGAAATTGTGGCCAGAGTGAGGATAACAGAGTGTACAAAATATTGCACATGGCTCGGATTTGCGCAACTCCTGATCACACTCGCCAGATGACTTAGCTTTGGCATAAAACGTGCACAAACAGAAGGGAACATCAAATTGCTTATCCCAAATGGATCACGATCAGTTGCCGCACTGCAATTGAGGGAATGCGTTTTCTTAAGCTTTGACCACGTCATTTGGTGGAAAAAGGGAAGGGATTTAAGTGGTGTACAATGAAATTGTGCTCGCTGGGGATCAGACAACACTTTCAATCTGGTGAAAAGTATCATGTTTTCATGAAACTTGAGGTGAATCTAGTGTTAACGGCATTATTAAAATGCAGACATAAAAGCTAATATGAAATTTATCCAATAGCGAGTCTATGTGAGATTTCCGAACAGCAATGAAATCACACTTTATCGCCTCATTTCTCTTGTATACAATCTTTGTTTTTGCCCATCGCGTGTGGGTGGGAAAAAGTGAAATAGATAGAAGAAAGAGTGTATTCTTTGTGTACACTCTTCACTATTTATCCTTGTCGCTAAAGGTAATTAGAGTAAAAATGGCCTCTAATACGTAAATTTATGAGGCACATCGCTAATAAACTTTTACTTTTATGGATGGCCATTTTTTCCGTCTCGCACTCGAGTGCAAAATCTCTGCAAAATGTTTTGTACTCTCTCTCTCGCCAGGTTAATGGTTTTCGGGGCTTGATCACTTGTCTGTCCCCAAAATTGGTCAGTCTTGCGGGAGGGCAAAAAAACAATGAGACGATAAAATTTAATTACACATTTAACTCATTAGAATGACGATGAGGAAATTGGGGGAGGGAGAAAGAGCGGGTTTGCTGTACAGTGATAAAATCTAGTAAAGCGCAATGTTGCAAAAATAAATCCATATTAAATGGACGATTAGATCTATAAATGATGCGATTTAACACTTTCACCGCAACCCACCAAAATGCCAAACCGCCGCACTTGTACAATGGAAATGTTGGAAAGACTTGAATTGAAGTCATCAATACAAGTTGGATAAATATTTACAGAGCCATTCATTTGACGCTTTGACGGCTCTTTTCCAGTCATTGTTGGCCACTGAGGAGTGATAAGAGAATGAGCGCAGAATAAATTTTACACTCAGCTCGACTACCGATAAGAGGCTAAAGCCTCTTAAATCTATTTGGAACTTTGATTGCCTCATTACAATACAATATATCGAAGTTGCCAAATCACAGGGGATTTCAATAGCAATTGGTCTCAGTGAGCATAATTGATCGATATTGCGCAATGTTGCGTTACTCACACAAGTCATAAAAATATTACTGCGGGAAAATTTCAATTCACAATATTGCATTTTCAATGGAGAAATGCTGCGGCGCCTTTTTTTGCTTCCCTTTTTTCGCAACATTCCAAAAAATAATAAATAGTTGGAGGAACAATTGCGAATTTCTTTTCACTTTTATTCAGCATTCGCGCATCCATCGACTGAAAATGTTTTGGCCTCCGAAGGTGGGTTGTCTTTTGTCTTTGAAAAATCTTACAGCGTGTGGTTGGAAAATTGGAAAATTATTATACATTGTTTACGTGGGGAGGCGCAATTGGCTCGAAGGTGGAGTATTAAGTTTCACTAAAGTGCGCCGGTATGATGGATAAATTGGATTAAATTGCAAAATTGTGGCAGTAAAAGGTGCATTTGAGGTGGATATTTGAATAACTTCCTCAATGGTTGTGCCATCGAGGCGGATCTAAAGATATACTGTGCTGAAATCGGCAAAGTGAGGCGAAAACCAGGCAAAGAGATCATCTTCGGTGGGCCTTCAAGGAAGCGCCACACTGTGCATTTTCAATGAAGAGTGATGTTGAATTGTAATACTGCAAATGATGGAGATAAGTCGCGAGGGGCATGTCATTATCGAAAGCAATGACTCGTGAGTGTCGATATGAAGTAACTAAAATATAATTAGATTCTGTTTTTGCATTCATTCTGGGAGTGGAAAGGCGTGAATAGAATTAATGCCCTTCAGTGTGTGGTTTGGAGTTTATTTATCCAGTCTGATTAGTCTCAAAATCATCATGCAGAGTCTGTAATTTTCCTCTTTGATTCACCCCTTGGAAATAAAGTCATCAGTGATGTTTTCTGTGTTAAGATGCGAGACGGAAAAAGTGTGTATTTTGTTAGAATTGTTGAGGGAAAAAGAAGAGATAATTACAATTCATGACGTGAATTTTTCACTAACATGTGCACTAAGAAACAACAATAAACCCCATTCATTTTGATGCCTTCTTGTGTCTCTGGGTAAGGAAATTATTATTCAAATGAGAACCGCCAAGAGTCCGGATAAAATGAGCAATAATTTAACTAAATCACTCTTGAGTGTTTTCCGAAAGGAGAGAATCTCAAGTGTGTTTGTGGCTAAAAAGTGAAAATTCATCTGAAAGACAATTAAATTATGCTTCGCTTTTCAATTTCTCTTGACGAGATGTGGTGGAGAAGAAGAAAAATGTTGTGAATAAAAATACCTTTTTCGGGATTATGGAGGAGAAGTAATTTCGAGTGCGCGACTCTCTTTAGCTTCACACAATCAACAAGTCTGCGCAATTGCTGACTAAAATTCAATAGATTTTAATAAGTAATTTTCTCTGGTGCGCACATGATGGTGAAAAGACACATCTTTGCGAAGGCCTTAGTTGTTTTTGGCGTGCTTTGAGCTGCTGATTGTGTGGGAAAAGTGCTCTCATGTGAACCACCCACAAGTGAGAGAGAAAGAAAAGGTAAATCTCGCGAAGAAGTCAATCATTAGTTGTAAAAATTCTTTAATACGCGCGCACAAGCGAAGAAAGTGAGGTTTCAAGTTCTTCGGGTGCGCAAGAGTGGACATTTTTCATCATACAGCATAGTGAAGAGATGAAGGAAAGTGATATCATTTGAATATTTCCCCCCTCAAACATCTTACAAAGATTGAGATCATCTGATTGGAGTGAGATGAAAGTGTTCTTTTTTTTTCTTGCACCAGATAAATTACAAATAATTGCAAGAAGCTGGAACATGAGGGCCTTTTTATATACATATAAGCAAGCAAAAACAGCCAGAGAGACACCATAATTTCCTCTTTGGCGGAGGAATTTTGTCACGAATATCTCTTGATAATCTCACATGGTGATTATTAATAGAAATCTCAACTGCTTTTTATTCTTCAACTGTTGTTTATACGCACACGGAGAGGGAGAGAAAAAAGCCCGAGACATGAGATTAACATCTTAAGGCTTTAGTGATCATGAAAGAGAAATAAATATATGTGGGCAAAAAGATGCGTATATTTCATATATAAATTAATGCGGCTGAAAATTTGTATATTTTCGTGATCAATTTTGCAAAGGGAAATTTATCATATTATTACAACTGTCCGATGACCACAAAAACGCTCACACAATTTTCAATTTAAGTGACGAAGAAAGTGTGACCTTTTCCCAAAGTCGCGTGTGTGATCATTTAGGGAAATTCACTATTTTATAGTTATTCAAAATAGCACAAAATTCGGAGATTTCAACTGAAAAGCTGCTGCTGAAAAAGAAGAGTCAACTACTGCTGTGACAGATAGAAAATGCCCTCATGTTTAATTATGCTAATGAGAACTAAAGTGTAACTGATTTCAGAGAAATCAACAGAGTGAAGTGAGAAGAAATTACATTAATCCCGCATTCAGTGTAAATGTACAATTATCTCACGGGCTGGAAAAATTTAATGTTGTATATTCCATAACTGGAAGTTAATTGCTGATTGAGTATCTTCTCAATTCAAATGGTGCTTTTTTTCTGCAATAATCCAAGAGTGTGAATTGAGGAGTGACTTTTGAACTTAATTTTTCCCTTGAGCACGATTTGTCGATTTGTGTGTTATAAAGCTTTGGCAGAAAAGCGGGAGAGAAAAGCCACAAGACGCCCTCATGTTGAGGTGCTTGTTGACCGGGAATAATCTTGTGCACGTCAGCAAGTTCATTTTGGCCTCAGAAATGTGCCATGGAGAAATGGAGTCACGAAGGAGATTTAGCCTCAAACAAACACTTGCTCAAGCATCAAAATAATAACCATTGTATATGATTCCATCTCCATTAGCTGCATGGCTCTTTCTCCAGCTCTTGCGCTTCAGGGAAGGCGAATTTGTTACGAGAGGCAATTGTTTAATCAGCAATCGATGCGCGCAAATTTAATTGTTGAATCAACAATGAAGACTTGGCGAGATGGAAAAGGTTGGCTGAATAAATTAACAGAAATTGTCTTAGGGAAAAAAGCTCCGAAAGAGAGGGAATCTTCCATTGACCATTCGCAGAGAGACAAGAACAGTGTCGTTTTGTGTGATTATTCAAATCCAATTTTCCATCCATTTCGATTTCACTCGCATTTAACACAGTTTCCAATAGAAGCTCTGCAATCATATACCTTCAAGCAATTATATCTGCACAAGTCTGGAGAGACAGAAGAAACACAGAGTCTCGTGCTTTAATTGAATTTAATGCCATCATTTCCATTAAGTCTGTCTCTCTCTGTGCTTCGGCTGGATGGCTGAAGAAAACCATCAAGGCGCCTGCAATTAATCACAATTGATCGATATGAGGAAAAATTGTGGACAATTTACGTCCTTTTTTTCTCCTCAATGATGTTTTGCATGTGATTGAGATCTCAATTTGCGATCACTTTCGCTGGAAATGCAGGGAAATTGTCAGCAAATTGTGCGGTATTTGCAGAAAGTCTACAAAAACGGTTAAGCGCGTTAAGTAGAAAAAAAAACTTATGTGCTATTTTTTGCTGAATTGCTGCTCAGTTTGAATATTTTGTAAGAAAAGTCTGAGAAAGTAAGCTCACGAATTTCCGTTCTTTCCTTTCAGATTGACCTTCGCCAGCTCGATCTGTCGCTGCTGTCCCAGTTGTGGGCCCTCAATAAGTCCATCCAGGAGTTCAGGACGATGCTGCAGGAGGAAGAGACCCTGTCGCCGCTCTCGCAGTCGCCGTCCCCCTCGGAGGGCAACTCGCTGACATCGGAGGACGAGGAGGCAGAGGACGAAGACCTCGCCGTCGATGGCCAGCTGCCGGAGCCCGCCCTGGAGGCGCCGATCCCGCGCATGAGAGTGGCTCCGCCACCCCCGCCGCCGCCAAACCGGAAACCCCAGTCGCGCCCAGTATGATACTGTTCCCTGAGCCAAATGAACGCGCTGCTGCGCTCCGCGTTCTGTCGATACTTTTCTGTGAAGAGTTGAGAGCTGCCCGGTTTCGAAGGATGCATGCTGCTGTTTGGGGTGCAATATTTGCCATAAGGGAGAACAATGGTTTAATAATATGAATTAGGCGTAATATTGGATCCAGTAGAGGATGACAAGGCATTTTATTCATCGTCAATTACTCTCAATTCAGCGTAAAAGATATTTATAAATTGCAGTGTGTGATTTTCTTGTGTAGATTTTATGATTTTCCGGAGGAGTGGAGAGAGAAACTCCTCTGCAATTTACCCTTCTGTAAGTTGTTTAAGAGCAAATTATGTTAATGATACAAGAGACAACTGCATTCATATAAATTATTCACATGAGGAGAAAAATAAAGTGATTTCATTGAGTAAGAGATGTTTTTGAATTTCCCGCGCTGAGGTGAATATGGCGCTGCGGCCCGCTGTGGTGAATACGGGAACGTCAAGAAAAGTAATCGATTAATCGAGGTGTAAAAGTCGAAGTTGAGCGAGAGACGGGGAGTTTTTCTCTCGGATTTTTCCAAATTTCCAAGCAAATAAGTGAGTAAACAGAGTGAGAAAGTGTCTAAATGCCTCCTTGAAGATCTAATTTGCTATTAGAAAACAGAATAAGTGGTAAATTGGCGAGAAAAGTGTGATTTTTGGTGTTTTTCTCTGTTGACATTTCATCCCTATGAGGAGTGTCAAAATTTTCTTCTAAATTTTCTCAAGCTTCTCCTTCAAAATACTCCTCAAAACCCTTCTTTTATGGCGGAAGGAGATACGAGAGGATGATCACGATTACAATCACATCAATTTAGTATGGATATATCAGCAAGTGTGACTGTTTTGAGTGGAAACCACCTGCTGTGATTGAGTCACTCTTTCCCAGACGTTCCGGAACATTTGAGTGTCTATCAAGGACTCTTCTGGCACTTTATCACTCCCCATCCTGAAGGATTCTCATGACTTCTGAAAGGAATGACTCAGTTCCAATTGATTTGGTGTACATTTTAATGCATTGTGACTTTCTCTGAGAGATCCTGGAGATGATGTCGTGAGTTTCCGTCACATTTGCTGGGAAATTCTGGCCAATTTGGCTTTATATCTCAATTGACGCGATTCAGCAAAACACTCAGTGGGTTGTTGGAGGCAGATAAGACAGTTTACCACTGATAAGATTACCCAGAATGGCTCACCACCCACGCAAAACGCAGAGACCCACAATAAATTCAATTGCCTGACTTAAGTTTGGCAAAAGGAGATCTCTAATGTGATTCTCTTCATTTCAGGTGCAATTCATTGAGTGGAAAGTTGGCAAAAATGAGCGGTTAGGCAGGCGAAATTATACGAAGAAGGCAGGAAAGCAATTGGAAGAATGGCTGAGAGTTCAGGAAGTCGAACAGTGAATCAGGGATTCCACCAACTCAGTGTCACACGTAAGTTTCCGCATTTCTAAGAATCCCTCTTCAACTATTCACAATGAAATTCCAAGAAGACCACATCGAAAAGCAAAAGAATCCCTCGGAGATTTCAAACGCCAGAGCGCAAGTGAAATGGAAAAGACGAAGAATGAGAGATGATAGACTTTCAGGCTAATGTTTTATTAATTTCGAAAAAGTGCCAGAGAATGAATGGTCGTGTGACATTGGCAGAAGCGCGCGCTGAATTGCTTGATGGCACGAGAGAGTGAAAATTTTCGTGTTTTTCACGCGGGAGTGCCACCAGAAAATCGCCTATTGCCGCTCTACTTCTCTCTTATATAATCCTCGGCGCGCGAATGCGTCTATTTTGCCACATTTTATATTTTTACTGCAATATTCCGCGAGCTCACGCTGATAGTGGGAATTGATCGTCATAATGATGAATAGGGATAGAAGACCGAGGGGTGAATGGCATATTTCTTGCGCCCCCGAATTTGCATTGAGGAGACGTGATAAGGCAAAGTGCGAAAAGTGAGTCAGAAGAAGATTATCTTTAATTTATTCAAAAGTGATTATCACTTTTGTCAGTTTTTTCTCTCTCTCAGTTTGATAAAAGAATGAGTCGTTTTCTTGTGTGTTTCTCTTCTTGGATTCATGATTAGCAAAACAGTTTTTTGCTGTGCACATATTTAGTTTGTTTTTATTCTCTGTCAGTCAGTGACGTAGTTAAATCAGTACTTCACATTAAATTGAATTTTACTGAAAGTTGAATAAGTGAACATATGTTTTGAATACATATAAGTTTTCTGATTTTCTTGCAATCGCTCCAAAATATTAATTTGCCGTGTCAATTGACCCCTGGATCGAGTCAATGTTGCGTTACGGAGTGACAATCAAAATGAGTTTGAGTCACGATCTCGTCTAGAATCCAGTTCAATTGAGAAGAATCTCTCGATCGCTGTCAATCCACTGATCGCTTCTCTCTCTCGCTCTCCCTCTCTTCTCTCCACAGTTGAGCAGGCGTCACTGAGGAATGTGGGCTTCCTTAAGCCAAATCCGTACGTGGAACTCTCGGTGGACAGCAAGAGCATTCGCAAGACGGAATTCGTGAAGAACACATATCTGCCGAAGTGGAATGAGGAGTTCACGGTGCTGGTCACGCCCAACTCGACGCTGCAGTTCAAGGTGCTGGACCACTCGAGCTTCCGCAAGGATGTGCTGATTGGCGAGCAGACGCTGAGCTTGGGTCAGATTCTGCAGCACTACAACGGTCGCTGTGAGAATCTGGAGTTGACAATGGATCTTCTCGTGACGTCCAAGTCGCCAGAGGCGCGGCAGAACAAGAGCGGCGAACTCGTGACGGTGCTGAATGGGCTGAAGATCGACATGAAGAGTGTCGTGATCACGAACGGCGCCGCGGCGAGTGTGAATGGCGAGGCGTCTGGCAGTGGGGGGCGCAGCAGTGTGCTGAACGGTGGCGTGAGGGCGAGGCAGCGCCTGAGGAGCGTCAATACGTCGGCCGCGAACGCCTCACCAAGCAGTATTAGCGATTCCCTGCGCACGGTGTCCTTCTCGCCTGAGCACTCGGCGTCCGGAACCGCCAACGGGACGGCGCACGCCACAAGCTCGGCGGGTGCCATCAGGAGGAACAGCGGCATGAACTGGGAGAATGCCATTGTCCCGGCAAGTAGTCAGCCAAATGGATCAGTTCTCTCCGTGCCAGCGGCAGCGGCAATTCCGGTGAGTGAAATTTCAATCACAAAATATCCGACATTCACTTGCAACAACCTCAGCGAGGCAAAACAGCAAAAGGGACCAGATTTGTTAGATCATGCATTGTTCTAAAATTCATTTAGTGACTTTAAAATTTGAAACTTGAAGATGTGAAGACGCGTGCGTCTTTAAAACGCTCACCAAAGTTGCAATTGATTTCAAAACGCGTATAGAATGTTTCAATTATTTCAAGATTCACGTTCCACCTTTCTTCCTAAACACGTGATAAGTGACCTCAGTGGAAGCGTTAATTTATTGATGAACTCTGTGATGTACAAGCCGTTGAAGTTCACTGTCACACGCATGGATGTGGGGATAGGAAATCGATACAATTTCTCAACGATATTCACACGAAAGAAGGGAATTTCATAGACTTCACACATTGTCAACTGTGCGCTATCAATAGAGAGTCTGTTGTTAATCTCAAGAGATAAGATAGTGGGTGCACAGGTGAATAAATTCTCATATTATTGTCACTTTGTTGAATCAGTGTGTTAATTGGGAGAAGAAAGAAGGGTGGTTCTTCTAATGTTTGAGGAATTTGTGATTTACTTTTATTGATTTTTCGAGATGGTTCTGCGATTCAGGCGCTTCAGACGGGTACTTTGCGGGGCGTGTGTGCAGATGAAAATGTTTGAAGGTACTATTTGATCGCATTGTTGTCTGTCTTTGCAGAGCTATCCGACCCAGGGAAGTCCCAGCATGGCTATGAATGGTGCCTCCAGTTCTGCAGGCGCTGCAGGTGGTGCTTCGGGTCTCGTGAATGGCAGTCCAGCGCCAGTGTCCAATGCAACGGATCAGCAGCTGGCACAGCAGACGGCGAGTGAGGATGAACCTTTGCCAGTGGGTTGGGAGATCCGTTTCGATCAGTACGGGCGTCGCTACTACGTAGATCACAACACAAGGTCCACGTATTGGGAGAAGCCGACTCCCTTGCCGCCTGGTTGGGAGATTCGGCGCGATCCGCGAGGGCGTGTGTACTATGTGGACCACAATACGCGCACCACGACATGGCAGAGACCCAACACGGAGCGCTTGCAGCACTTCCAGCACTGGCAAGGGCAGCGAGCGCACGTGGTGGCACAGGGTAATCAGCGGTTCCTGTATACTCCGGCCGCCACGGGGGCCGCGCAGCCGAGTGGCGGGCAGCAGGAGGAGGACGATGGCCTGGGACCGTTGCCAGATGGCTGGGAGAAGCGCGTGCAACCGGACAATCGCGTGTACTACGTGAACCACAAGAACCGCACGACACAGTGGGAGGATCCGCGAACGCAGGGCCAGGAAGTGAGCCTGATGAGCGAGGGTCCGCTGCCGCCGGGCTGGGAGATCCGATACACGGTGAATGGAGAGCGCTTCTTTGTGGACCACAACACCAGGAGGACGACGTTTGAGGACCCCAGGCCAGGAGCTGCTCAGAAGGCAGGCGGAAAGGGCGTGTATGGCGTCCCGAGAGCATATGAACGCTCCTTCCGCTGGAAATTGAGTCAATTCCGCTATCTATGCCAGAGCAACGCTCTCCCGTCCCACATCAAGATCACCATGACGCGCCAAACGCTGTTCGAGGACTCCTACCACCAGATCATGCGGCTGCCCGCGTACGAGCTCCGTCGCCGGCTGTATATCATCTTCAGGGGTGAGGAGGGCTTGGACTACGGCGGCGTGTCGCGAGAGTGGTTCTTCCTACTCTCGCACGAGGTGCTGAATCCCATGTATTGTCTGTTCGAGTATGCCAACAAGAACAACTACAGTCTGCAGATAAATCCCGCCTCATATGTGAATCCCGATCATCTGCAGTACTTCAAGTTTATCGGGAGATTTATCGCGATGGCGCTCTATCATGGGCGCTTCATCTACTCGGGCTTCACGATGCCGTTCTATAAGAGGATGCTGAACAAGAAGCTCACCACGAAGGACATCGAGTCCATCGATCCCGAGTTCTACAATTCGCTGGTGTGGGTGAGGGACAATAACATCGACGAGTGCGGCCTGGAGTTGTGGTTCAGCGTGGACTTTGAGGTGCTGGGACAGATTATCCACCATGAGTTGAAGGAGAATGGCGACAAGGAGCGTGTGACGGAGGAGAACAAGGAGGAGTACCTCACGCTCATGACTGAATGGCGGATGACGAGGTGAGTTGAAAGATGTTTCAGAGTGTGAACGAGTGAATGATCGCTTTATCTCTCAACAGGGGAATCGAGCAGCAGACAAAGACATTCCTGGACGGCTTCAATGAAGTGGTGCCGCTGGAGTGGCTGAAGTACTTCGACGAGCGCGAGCTGGAACTGATGCTGTGCGGAATGCAGGAAATCGACGTGGACGATTGGCAGCGGAACACCATTTACAGGCACTACAATCGCAACAGCAAGCAAGTGTTGTGGTTCTGGCAGGTGAGTTGTCCTTCTGCTCTTCCTCAATCTATTCTATATTTGTACTGAGTGTGCGATATTTTGTTCGGCAGTTTGTCCGAGAAACGGACAACGAGAAGCGCGCGCGACTGCTGCAGTTTGTGACGGGCACTTGCCGCGTGCCCGTGGGTGGCTTTGCTGAGCTGATGGGCTCCAATGGGCCGCAGCGCTTCTGCATTGAGAAGGTGGGCAAGGAGACGTGGCTGCCGCGATCGCACACGTGCTTCAATCGGCTGGACTTGCCGCCGTACAAGAGCTACGATCAGCTGGTGGAGAAGCTCAACTATGCCATCGAAGAGACGGAGGGCTTCGGCCAGGAGTAGGCTATAGAGCGGAACTTTAATCCCCCTTTTTCTCTGTACATACTGTTGATAGATTTATGAAGGCATGAGCGCTGTAGCGATTATACATATAGAAACGTAGGAGGTTATTTTAATTTTAAGAATAAAGGAGAATTGTATAAAATTGGCTAAATTGGGAGGCAAGGATTTTAAAAGACAAGCAGATTGAATGAGAAGAGAGTGAGAGAGAGATCAAATGGGATCAGTGATAATATCAAATTACTTTTAGATTTTAGAGACAGTGCGAGAAGAGGCAGAGAGAGAGAGAAATGGGTAAGAAAGTTGATTCTGGAGAATAGAAAAGAAAGATTAAAGTTATTTTTTACAAATTGCTAAATCCACGGTTCAAAGTCCACCCCTTTTCACTTTATTCCTCTGGTTAGAAAAGTGTTTATATATTGAATGAAAAATATAGGGGACTATTTTTGTGTCACTGGCAAAACTTGTGAGGAGAAAATTAATATGTTGAGGCCGCATTATCCTCAGCAAATAGATAATAAAGTGATTATCGAAATAGACGCAGATTTTTTTTTCTTGAAGACTTTCCTATCATGCTTTTTAAATTCGCTCCTGATCAGGTTGAGTATTCTTTGTTTCACTCAAGTATTCTGCAAGTTACGAATAATTTAAATTATTGGTAATTCGTCTCTAAGATTTATTCAACACACTCTTCGCCTGCAAATGTTCTAATCTGGGCAGAATTGCAATTCTCAGCGGTTCTCCTGACGCTTCCAAGGCTGCCAGCTCGACTGGGTGCGCTTTCTTCTTGTGACTCGTGCAATTCGATCCGTTGGCAAAGGTTTTGTCGCAGAAGGGACACTGATAAGGCCGCTGGCCCGTATGCAGAATCAGGTGATCCTTGAAGGTCTTCCGGCGCTTGTACTCAGAGCCGCAATAGTTGCACTTATACTTCTTCACGTCTGAATGCACCAGCAAGTGACTCCTGAATGTGCGCCTGTTCTTCAGCTTCACGTCGCAATGTGGACACGCGTGCACGGTATCCTGATGCGTATCCTCGTCGTGGCGCTTGAGAGCTCTCTGGTTCTTGAACCTCTTTGGGCAGTTTGTGCATTGGAAAGTGCGCTCCTCCACATGACTCACTTGGTGGGCGTTGAGAGCGCTCCTGGTCTTGAAGGAATTGCCGCACTCCTCGCACACGAAGGGCTTGTCACCGCTGTGCATCGCGCGGATGTGCGAGGGAATTTTGTACTTGTGGTTGAATTTCTTGTCGCAGTGCGGACAAGGGTAGATAAGACCTTCGGACACGGGCAAGTGACTGATTTCGTGCATCTTCAGCTTCTTTTCACACGAGAAGCGCTTCGAGCACGACGTGCAGACGTAAGCCATCTCTTCCTGGCGGTGTTCCTCGATTGTGTGCTCTCTAAGCAAATGTGGACGATTGAACCGCTTCGGACAGAGTGTGCACAAGTGCTTCTTCTCTCTGGGACCCTTCCAGATCTTCTTGCGCTTCCTCGGAGCCGCTTCTGCATCCTCGTCGTCATTCTTCACCACCTCAAGGGATCTCTTCGGTCGTCCTCCTACAAAATAAAGGCCAAAGTCAATCTACCGCATTCTGAGCATAAACGAAACAATTCTACTTTTCTTCTGGACAGGAACAAAATCCATTTCAGGCTCTTCCAACTTCACAAAAAGTGCTTTTTCGATCTGCATTTCCAACGGATTTGGTGATTGACAGAGTGAAGGTGATTCTTGTTTCGTGGCTTCTTCGAGATCACCAGTAAATACAGGACTGTATTTCTGCAAATATCGACATTTTTTAACATCACATTACTAATGAAAAGCAAAAATCTCACTATTTCTTCATCTTCAAGTCCATGCTTAAAGCGAATGGATTCCAATTGCATTTCCGAAGGAGTTTCCAGCTCAATCAATTCCCTGAACATGTGATCAACCCTCAAGCAATGCTCATGGAAGTCATCAACCTTCACTAGGAAGCTGCAGCACTCCTGACAAACTCCCAATTGAGTTCCATCGAGAGGTAAAATCTGGAATTCCAAGAAAATGTAAACATCAACAATACCTTTAAAAGGCTTCTTCTCACCGATAAAAAATATTTATTTGCGATTTCCAGTGGATTTCTCGATGATTCAGATTTGTACAACACTTCTGCCTGCGCAGAATTATTCTTGGCACACAATCGACACCAATTCTTCCAATTTCTCAGCATATTGCACGTTTTATGTGCACTTTTAAGAAAAACCCAGTGCAGAGAAAACTGACAGCCAGCGTCAGTCGCTGAGTTCAAACGTTTCAACGTGCAGCCGGACCGAAAGTGTCAAACGAGAAATTATACTCGCGGAAATCGCGTGAAAATGTTGGAAAATTGGCGTGAATGGTGTTACTTGTGTGCTAAAATTGATTCCCCGAGCGAGGATGCGTTGCATAAAGTTACATTAATGAGTTGTCACTCAAAACTTATAGTGAAATACTTTGAGATTTCCGTGAGTACTTTGTCCTAGAGTTTCTTTCTTATTTGTTGTCATTTCCATGTCTCTCATTCTTTATGTACATTATAAATTGATAGTGATAAGAAAGAGAGAGGACGAATATATATATATATTTAACCCAATAAAGCACCTGATAAATTGTTTGTTTATGTTTTTATGACCTCTCGTGACCCCATTCGGAAAGCCCTTTAAATGCCAGGTTTTTTTTTTAAAGGAAGGAATCAAATGTTTTCAGATCGAATTCTCTGAGGAAATAATTCATCCAATTTGCATCGAATGCAGTATATTCCTTGAGAAGTTGGAAAACTTTAAGGATCGCTGTGTGAATGCCCTGAAAATGCACCAAGAAATCATGTTGAATAACGCTAGTTCATCGAAAGATCTTCAAGCGATTCGGTTCAAGCATGGCTTCGATAAGGAAAAAGTAAGTTTTAAACTGATTTTTTAAAAATTTTAAGGCTCACAGAGATTTTACAGGTGGCGGAAAAACATTTTTTGGATTCTGATCTGCCATCGAATCCAGCAAGTCCACAAAAAAGTGATGATGACTTGCCTTTGACTAGAAGAGTTAAGAAAGAGTCTTTATTTGCACCACAACGAAAGCGTCGTATGAGTAAAAAGTGCCCAAAAAGTGAGGAAATTGTTTGCGAAATTTGTTCGAAGAACTTCTCTCGTCGAAGTGTCCTCAAAGAACACATCCTGGAGCAGCATCGTCAGCAGGAAATGCCTCACAGCTGTTCACAATGTGCGAAGAGATTCACCAACAAGTACAAGCTGCGAATGCACGAGAACACTCACTTATCTGACTCCGAGAGGCGCATTCATCCGTGTCCTTTGTGTGAGAAGAAATTCGGCCTCAAGGCTCTCGTGCAGTCTCACATCAGTGCCATTCACATCGGCGACAAGCCCTTCATCTGTGAGGAGTGTGGCAAGTCCTTCAGAACGAAAGGCGCCCTTCTGGAGCACCAAACGAGCCACAGCGATGATCGTCCCTATCACTGTTCAGCGTGCCCGAAGAAATTCAAGAAATCACAACATTTGAAGATGCACGAAGAGAGTCACAGAACCGACTTGTTCGAATGTCCTCATTGTGATCTCAAATTGAGGACTTCGAGGACCCTCAAGATGCACTTGCTTGTGCACTCGGACAGTAAGCAGTACAAGTGCGACTATTGTGGAAATGAGTACAAACGGGCGAAGACGCTGAAAGAACATCTGATTCTGCACACTGGCCAGCGACCTTACCAATGTCCCTTCTGTGATAAAGCCTTCGCAAACGGATCGAATTGCCGGAGTCATAAGAAGAAATCGCATCCAGTCGAGCTGGCAGCCTTGGAAGCCTCAGGAGATTTAGTAAAACCAGGTGACCGAAGATTTGCGTCTACGCCAAATAAAACCATCGCATAATTCAAATTGTGGAATCTCTTCTATTTATTTGCACCCAGGAAAGAACACTATTCGGAATAAAACCATATAAGTGAAATTTGTGAATTACAACTAACATTTGTCTAAATCTCTTTTAATTCACTATCTCTGCAAATAATTATATCATTTTACATATTCTTGTGATTATTTGATTATGTGTTTATTTTAACTGATAACACATAAATTTAACAACCGGCCAAGAAATATTTGGAAAGGGCACGAAAGGATATTCTTTTCCCAACGATTCGTATGTAACAGCAAAGTCTTCTGTAAATCCTGCTCTTTTAGCTGCCGCTTGAGATCCTGGTCCAGTAAATAGTGTTCCAGTGAGAGATAATCCCAAAGCTTCCATGAGAGGAAATCTTGCCTTCAAGAGTTCTGTAGCAATTCCGCATCCTCGATACTTTGGCATAGTCAAAAGACCCAATCCGTGAAGATATTTGCTTACATTGTAACGATTGTAGGCATCGGCCTTTGCTTTTAGGAAAAGGAAAGCTTTGAAAATATCTCTGAGACTCTTTCCCTTAAGTTCTTTCAAGTGATCTTTCTCTGACTCATCCTTATCACTGATTTCTAATATGTTAAGGCCACAAATTTCACTGCATCCTTCTTTAAAGCAAACGAGAGTCAATTTTTGCGGCATAGTTTCCATCCAAAATGCTTTCATTTCAGACAAAGATACTTCATCCTTCATGCTTCCTGAAAAAAAAAGATATTTTGCGATTTCTTACTATTGTGCAGAAAAATTGGCCACTTTTTTTTAAAACAGGAACATGACAATTGAATCACTTGAAAATTTATCCGAAACACAATTATACACTTTCATGTAAAAAAAAAACTAACCAAGAGAATTGTTCATTGGTTCATCAGGAACAAAATAATTCAGCATAAGGTTCACAGCTTCCTCGAATCGGTCCTCAGGACAATCCTCTATCCGATAGTCCACGATTTGTCCGGACTCTGGGTCCTTTGCTTGGAATTTCCACCAAACTTGTGGAAATGACACACTTTCAGGGCGAGTAAACTTCATCTTCGCTGTGAAATTGCTCGGGAGTAACTGAGACAACTCAAAGTAAAGTTTTCCTTTATTTCGCACCAGTCATGATCACACAATTATAGCAACTGATAAGGACGTGAATAAACTCTACGTGACTTATGGGCTTACCATCTAATGTCGTCGCAAATAGAAGAATCGTAAATTAAACTAACTCAACACATAAAAAATACATACTAATATTTCAGTCTTACACTAATGTGTTTGTAGGGACATTATTTGTTATGTGATTTCACTCACTCTAGTATTTCTGAAATATTCACATTCTCATCCTATGTATGAATTCTTCATTCATCAGCATCATTTTAACCCGAAAAGTTCATCTGACTTTACTTAATATGAGTCTGAAAATTGTTTAAGCAACTGCATTTACTGATCTTGACTAAGACTGGCTTTTTTCGCACTATTTTTTCAACTGAAGACACATGAATTTCACAACACGGAATGGAATGTTGGGAATTTGCACGAACGGATATTCTTTTCCCAACGAATCGTATGTAACAACAACATCTTCAGTAAATCCAGCTTTTTTTGCTGCCGCTTGTGATCCAGGAGCAGAAAATACGGTGCAAGTTAGTGTTAATCCTAGAGCTTTCATAAGTGGAATTCTCGCTTTCAAGAGTTCCGTGGCAATTCCACATCCTCGATATTTTGGCACGATGAAAAGTCCTCTTCCATGCAAATATTTGTCTACATTGTAGCGTCTGTATACGTCGCCCTTTTCTTTTAGAAAGTTGAAAACTGCCCTAATGTCTTTAACACCTCTTCCCTTATTTTCTTCTTTTACAATCTGTGATTCAATCTCTTCATTTATTTCGAGTACATTAAAACCACATAATTCACTAGTCCCTTCTTTGTAGCATACAAGAGTGAGTTTTTGAGGAAGAATTTCCACCCATTTCTCTTTCATCTCACTTAACGATTCTTTATCCTTCATTATCCCTGAAAATTAGAGAGAATTTTACAAACAAATCAGCAGCAATTTTTGATAATTGCAAAATGTTACCAAGTGAAGCACTGATGGGTTCATCAGGCGTGAAACAATTCACCATCAAGTCCACAATCTCGTCAAAGCGATCCTCTGAACAATCTTCTATTCGATATTCCACAATTTCACCTGATTCCGGATCCTTTGCTGGGAATCTCCACCAAATTTGTGGGAATGGAATGCTTTCAGACCGCGACCACTTCATCTTCACTGTCAGACTTCGCAATAGAAACTGAGACGTCTACTCTCTAATCGTCACCAATTCGTATGATAACCGCATGATAACTCGTGATAAGTCAATGGCAAGTCAAGCTTGTCATATTGAGGAATTTTATTATCTCAAGTCTATTTATCTACAAATGTTATTGTTCATGAATTGAGAAGCACATATTGTTTTGCAAAACTGCATGCCATTCAAAACTGAGCAATTTTTTTTGAACAACTTTAATGACTTTCAATACCAGTAGAAAAAAACACGTTCACTGATTAACTTATCTTATCTGAATATAACACATTTTTCATACATCTTAACGATCATGCAATTTCTTAAGATAAAGAACGTCTGCTAAGTCAGGTAAACAATTTATCAGTTATTTTTATGAAGTGCATTGCATAAAAGCAAATAAAATCTTGTATCAAAACCACAAGGAAAATATTTACCACACAAGCCTTGAATATGTCATCAAACACTTATTTCGAAATTGATAACATACTCCAAGTGTTTTTAATTATCATTAATAATTACTTGCATGACTTCTACAGACACACACACCAAGTGAATTGTTCATTTATTCCTCAGAAAGAAAACCCCAACGAATAATACAATTTGTCCGGATTCAGGATCCTTTGCTTTGAATCCTCCACTAAACTTGTGGCAATGACATACTTTCAGGGCGCGTGAACTTCATTACTTCACTGAAATTTCTATTTAAAGAAAGTTTCTCTCGTGTCACGATGCCAAAAATCGTTCGAATGTCGTGAATAAGTAAACATTTTAAAAGCAGTGAGTTATATTCAATAACGACATACTTTCAGAACATCATTCAATAATAACAGGATGTGTTAATTTTCACATTAGTCCAATCTCATACTTTGGAGCTTCACAGTGGGGGTTCCCAGTACTGGGAAATTCATTCGCGGCCCCTTTTTTTGCAATTCGTCCCAGGAGATCTCGAAGGAGTCCTCAAAGCCCGCCTTCGTTGCCGCCGATTGCGATGATCGATTGGAGAACACGGTCGAGGTGACCTTGAGGCCAACGGCTCTTCCCAGAGGAACTCTGGCCTTCAGCAATTCCACACCAAGTTTGAGGCCCCGAAACTGAGGGGGAACCAGAAGCCCATATCCGCTGATTAATTTGTCCACTTGATAGTGATCGTAGAGATTTCCGCTCTCCGCAATGAAATCCATCGCTTTCAGGATGTCGTTACACGCTTCGCCGTAATCCGTCGGCTCCTCTTCCCAGTCCTTCTGTGTGACCTTGAGGAAGTTCATGCCCACAATTTCGTCTGAATCCTCCCTGAAGCACACCAGACAGAGCTTGTCCTGAACCACTTTCTGCCACATTTGACGAAAGTCAGCGATCGCCCGAGGATCATCGACGCAGTTTCTGGATTTGCACATGGGCTCATCCCGCAGGAAGTGCTCCACCATCATATCAATAGCCTCTCCATAGCGCTCCTCGGGCAAGTCCTGGATCCTGAACTGCACAGTCTCTCCACTCTTGGGATCCTTGGCACTAAAGCGGTGCCAAACGGACGGGAAGGGCACATCACTTGAGCGTTTCCACTTAATTGGGGCCATTTTCTACCACAACTATTCTCATCAGCTGCTCAGCAACTACTGGAAGCACTAAGTATGAGTTTCATCACTCTGACGAGTTGTGCATGAGCGATTTATTGTTTGAAGATCACATGAGATAAGATTATTAATATATGCCATTGATACTTTTTTCCCCAGACGCTTTCCTCTGTCTGGAATTGTAGACACATACAGCAACAATTTCATAGTTCATGAACAAGGAAAAATCAATTGATTGAGTTAAAAATTTCATTTTTTCAAAGTTCCTGCCAAAAACTATTCTGGTGCTGAGTGACCGTGACACAATTACAACAATTAGAACCCATTAGATCTATAAAAAGACATTTTTTGCAAGTAATACATGGATATTTTTTAAATGATTTCTCATGCTGGACAGTGCGTGCTACATGCCAACAAGTTATCAAGACAATTTCATGCTCATTAGCTTAACAAACTCCGTCTCGACTCCCGGAAAGTGGATCTTAGGTCCACTTTCCTTCAGAGTTTCGTAGCTGATCACGAAAGTTTCCTCGAAGCCCGCTCTCGCGGCAGCAGCTTGAGAAAACTTGTTCGTGAAAACTGTTGAAGTGAGGAAGACTCCAATGGTGCGTCCAAGAGCGATTCGCGCCTTCAGAATCTGCTCAGCAAGACGAAGAGCGCGGAATTTCGGCACGACCAGAAGGGCAAATCCGGCGAAGAATTTATCCACTGAGTAGCGATTGTAGAGATCACCCTGTTGGGTGGCGAAATCCATGGCGCGCAGCATATCTGTACATGCTTTTCCGGCATCCTCGGGTATGCCGTCTTCGACTTCCTTGCAGCAGAGCTTGAGGACATTGACGCCCACAATTTCGTCAGAATCCTCCTTGAAACACACCAAAGAGATCTTGTCCTGGAGGATGATTCTCCAGGCATTGGAGAAGCCGAGAACGGATTGGGGCTCGTCAGCGGCGCCTGTAATCATGAAGCTTTTTAAGATGACGTGTGAAAGGTGCGTGAAAGACAGTAAACTCGCCTCCGGCTTTGCACATGGGCTCATCTTTCAGAAAGTGCTCAACTAGCAGCTGCACAGCTTCTTCGTAGCGATCCTCCGGCAGATCCTGCACTCGATAGTTCACCATTTCACCAGTTTCCTCATCCTTGGCCTTAAAGCGACGCCAAACAGACGGAAAGGGCACAGATTCAGGGCGTTTCCACTTGCTCGATACCATGATGACTGCCGAAGAACTCTTAGATGCACTCAATCGAATACTCACCGAACTGGATATCACAGTGAAATTCCCTCTCTCTTTATATACCTACCAAAAGAATGGATTATCGATTTGTATGCAGTTCAACGGTTCCAACAGGGCAACCAACATACATAGACAGAAGCGCCTGATGTTGGGCAAAAGAGAGCAATCGCGACTTTTGAAACTCCGTCCGTTGACCTATAGTCGCAATCGCAGAAAAAGTCGGCAAATTTCGCGAGAATTCATACATTTTTTTCCCACAATGCGAAAAACCGCGGTCTTTGTCAATGAAAGTGTCTATTTGACAATTTAACACCATTTGGATACGATCAATATTGACTTGTTCTCGTGTTTGGCGATGGAAGGAAGAATGGGAGAAATGCGCGAGAGTGAGAGGGTGTGAGTGGAGCTGTTCTTGCTCACGAACACACCTGATGGTTGCTCTGCAGACTCGTGGACAGGTAGACTCGCGGATGGTTCACTCTTCCAGTGAACAGCGATTGGAGCGGACGTGCGATCTGAGTTCTTGGAGCGTCGCGATCAGTGCAAATTCAGAGGTGATCCCAGAATCTCGAAGTTCCGCTTGTGACACTGTGCGCGAAGTTTGTATTTGATCAGTTGTTTCGGTGGTGCTTTCTGGTGTCGCTTGTGCCTTGTGCTAAGGTGAGATCGCAACGAGGAAATCAGACACGAGATGCGCCGTGAGGATAAAGTTTCAGGCAGTGCATCAAATACCTGTTAGCATACGATCACTTGATCTCGTCGCTGGACTTCGGAGCTGGGAAGATCGGTGAGTGTCATGAGGAGGTGCGCGCACACGATGGCGGATGATTGCGATCAAATGTGAGACAATGGATCGCGTCCGATCACTTTGGACGTTAGGCGAAGTTGAGTGACCGCGAAATTTGCAATTTTTCCCTCCGCCCATGGAATATTTCGGGGTCCCAATGTGACTTGCTAAAATGCTTTTTGCGAAAAATCTCAAATACACGAAGAAGAGTGTGGAAAAGAGCCCGCGAGGAGCCAATGATCGAAGGCCAGCAGCAGATTTTGTTGAATTCTCTTCTGTTCAAGGGGAAGATATTCTGGGTAAAATCCAATACTTTCTAAATAGAAGAATACTTTTTTTATTTTGATCTTCAAAGTTCTTTGAATACACTTCAAGCACCATTTCACGCATTTCTGAAGAACTGTACACCACGTCGAGTCAAATATCTCCCCTTGCTTCTGTCTCTTGGCCTCCCATTTGATGATTGCTCTCCTATGTTCAATGCCCACAACACGGCAATTCCATTCCTTCTTCGCTCCCATTGTCGCTGCAGCGAAATCCCCACAATTGCCAAGTGCTTCCAGTGTTCTTTCGCCAATCCGCGTGTCTGTGCAGAATCGCGCGGAGGAGGATTCTGTGCGCGAGACCAGAAAAACCACGTTCGATCCTCTTGCATTTTATGACTTCTCCTCTCCCGAGAGCACACCAGAAAAGCTTGCAAAAAGGCACACACACCACCAATATCAATTTATTTTACGACTCTTCCACGCCAAACACGCACCCGATCTCTCTGACCAGCTCGCGCATCTCTTTTTGGCTGCAGGAAATTAAAATTCCACGCCGAGATGTGTTGAGTTGGCCGCACTGGCAGATAAGGAGCGATCGCGCCGGACAAAAAGGCGTCATTTCCTCATGATGTGCACCCGAAAAAATCGTGTGAAATGCGGAAAAGGTCAGTGCAATTAATGCACCTCAACGCTTCATATTCGACATACATATATGCGCGCTCTGGAAAAAGAGACACAGACACTAATTGCAAACGCACTCACTTTTTACCACACGAACTCGACAGTGACATGCAAAATGTGCAGGAGTAGTGCAATGCATTGACTCTTTAATTGCCACTTGTAACCAATGTTCATTGTATTGCTGTACTTCCGAGGGGATTGTTTATACTGAGTCGGAAAAAAATATCAGAAAAACCCAAATTCTCAACATTGCTAAAAAAATGTTTCAATAGACGAATTTGCTGTAAAATACACTCTCAAGTCACCCCTTAATGTGCGACATTTCAACGACACTTAATAGAAAACACCTGATCATGGAACCGAATTCAGCATTCGGCGAACAGCTTAACTCTTCCTCATTTGGCTTTTTCCCCTTTGCACCATTGCAACAAACAATTTGTGGGGACCAGCAAATTCTTTATTCTTTATTTATTTTTGTAATTGTACTTGGCTCGCACACCTGGAGCAACAAAACGGTGTGGCATATTTTTAATGAAATAAATGGTGGACGGCGGAATTCTTCAGCCATGCAGGCACTCTCTATTTGAATGATTCTCGGTTTTTTTTCACGTCTTTTTCGGGGTGCTTAATGAACTCACATTTGGGAAGCGGATATACGGTCCTCTGAAACGCACATTAGCTTCGTATTTTCACCGCGGCGAGTGTGGAAGATTCCCTCTCGCATGGGCGAAGTGCATGAAAAACCAATAAATCTTCACCTGAGATGTGTGTATGAAAGAGAAGAGAGAATTATTGGAAGTGAAACACCTCAAAACATTTTTCCCACAACGCTCTCGCGGGAAATTCTTGAAGAATTTTACTTTTTAATCCATGCCATTAGCATTGTTTACCTTCCCATTTGAGTGTCTGTCGCTTCAGTGTCTTCTATTATGAGAATTGCAGTGATTTTCTTAGACACTTGTAATCGTCATGACATGATGAAATGGGGAGAAAGACATGCCGAGCATTCAATGAAATAATTAGTGATTACTCCAGTGAGAGTTAAGTGAGATAGTCATTAAATGTGGCTCTTTTATGAACTTTCGCTGGTGGATTTAATGAAATAATTATTGCACGCCGATTTTAACGTATTAGCATCCGGATCAGTGGTAATATTTCCCCTTCGAAAACTTTATCTCTGCGAACGAGGCATGAAAAGAAAGCTCATTTCTTTTCCATTTCAACTGCAAGTCTTATTTCCATATTACATAGAATGTTTTGATGTTGAAATAAATTTTTCAAATACCACCCAACATTCCAAGCACTTTTCCATGCAAATTTCCATCATATTTCGCGGCGATAGAATGCCGCTTGGGGGGAAGAAGACAAAAACCACTGGCAAACTCCTAATGAATATTTAGGCTTTTGCCAATGATTGTGTTTAGTTAAACAAATCGAATGGAACGAGCAATAAATTCATTCATGGTGATTCTAGAAGCGCGATTTACTATGCAAAAATCTCCAGCTGAACCTCCGTGTGGTTGGAATTCTGGTCCAAAATTAATTCCTCCTTGTGAGATATTTTCACCTCTGCGCCCATTCGCAGTTTTTCATCGAGATCTTGCGATCTTTTTTGTGTGCACTTTTTTGCCGAGCTCGCGATCTCCTACATACAATTGCGTCCTTGTGCGTTTTCTTGCGAAAGTCTCCGGTAGTGTTTTATTGATCGTTAGTGGCGCAAAAAGCCAAGCACACAGCCTCTTAAATTGCCTCCCATGACACATTTAGCATTTGAGGTGCGTTTGCTCAGCGCCAAGTGGATTTGTTTGATGGATGCACTCGGCTGAGAGAAGCGGGATTCGCTCAGTTCAGCTATTTATACAAATCACTGGCTTTTGGGGTCTTCCTGAAGTTCTCCGTGCAGAGTTTAACATATCAAAGTGATCTTAACAGGTTGTTTTAAGAAGAGACGAGTTAGTAGTATCCCGAAAAATGGAAACAAAGCGATATCCAAAGCGTGCCCAAAGCACGCTGTTCCAATATATTCAGGTCATGTGGCCAATTGACCCTTAGAAGTGTGGCTAAGTGGATTCTTCCAGTGCATTTGCCGTCAGACAACACATGCTCCGGGAGGCAAGTCTGAGTGACTGGGCATCAGTTGGAAGATGGTTGAAATGAAAAGGGTTTCGCGGGCACTCGCTGGACTCAAAGGGGGGCCTTGGCAACAAATGGTACGTCTTGTAGACCCACTTGTCCGCATGATTAATACTTTTTTGCGCGACTTCGTGCTCTCCCTCTGGACAGCGCCTCCCGATTCCTCCGCAACTGTGACACGTTCCCCATTGCAATTGAGCACGGCGACGTGTTAAGCGTTCCTCTTTTTTCTGCGCGCGATCACTTTGGTAGACGATCACGTATATTTTATAATTCTATTGATGATGATAATTATGGGAGGCACTCACAATCTCATGACACGAGCCATCCGGACAGCGTCCGCGGGAAATACATTCGCCCAAGTGGATGAAGAGACGCGCACGGCACAAGAAAGACACCAGAGAAACGAGTATCTCTCTGGGCACAGAACGAGAATCGCACACACAAGCTGATTGTGATTCTCGAGCCACTCTTTTGATCTCTTCTCAATGGCAATGGGTGCGCTTCTTCAGCAGACATTCACGACTGTGGTGTTCGATAAATAAATCCCCAATTAAATGCACAGGCGTCCAGCCAAATGAGAGAGACACTCGCATAATTATAAAATGTTATTAATGTGATCACGTGCATAAATTACACCCTTCTTCCTAACGCGCCGACATGTGGACTTTTTCTATGTCTCTTTGTGCACCGCGCGACAGGATTAAACGATTGAGCCTCTGAGGTATTTTCTGCGATTTTCCATTGATTTCCAGCGCGCGGTAACGAGATCATTTTAATCTCCTTCGGCGCGTGATCTTCTCTCCTCGTGATCATTTCTCATCGGTTGCTCTCAGGCACTTTCGGGGCCTCCCATCGATCTCTTAACTCTCTAAATTATTACCACCATCGCGCCACACAAAGTGTCTCAATGTGATTTGGATGTTGTGTGAAAAATCAACTGATTAAATCGCCTCTTTTCATATATGAGAACGAAAAGAAAGAAACTCAGCGGCGACAATAACTTGGCTTATTCTCAATTTTATGTCTCTCTTCCATCCCAATTTCTTTTATTGCACATTCAAATGTGCGATGTCTTTTTCTCGTTTTTAAAGCCTCCTGTCCGCGAAAGCTTCCGATCCGCCACACATTAATATTGATCAACAATATTGAAATTACCGAGGAGGATTTAATTGTCGGCATTTCGGTGAAGATCGCCACGGATTTTTCAACAGAGATTTGAGAGATCGTAAATTTCACGCAAACTTGACACTATTTCTGTAAATAACCGTTGAATTTCCATGCGATCTCCGAGATTACGAGTGATATTTGATAAATAATAAAAGGAATTTTATCTACATTTAACAGTCTGGATTTACGGATATCACATTTTCTTATGGTCACACAGGAAAATCAATGGCTAATCGAAGGATTTTAAGCACTTTCTCAAAATACACTTTCCTTGATTTCTCAACTGTTATATGCAAAATAGGGCAATAAGGAGGAATTTGACTGCTATTGAATATTATTTCGATTGATCTCTCCATCATAAATTTACTGCCTTTTTCTTTCGCTGAGTTCCCACGTGAGCTTCAGTGGAATATTTTGATGATATCTTGAGCTCGTTGGACGGATAATTAAATTATCAGCGAGCTAATGTGTCGGTTGAAAGAATTCTCGCGATGAAATTGCTTGAGTGGCGGGAGAGACACGATCGAAATCTTGTGATCATACCATGAGAGATTGAATTGCAGAGAATTTCCAGCGTGGCCAGGAATGAAATTGATTTCAATCTCAAGGTATAGAATATCGTCGGGATGGGTGTATAATGAGAAATGATTTGAGTGAATTTTCTCAGGGAGTGAATCTATCGGTATATTGCTGAGCAAGTGGTTAACAGTAAAAGTCATTTTCATTTTGTTCTCTTCTCACGGGCCCAGCGAAAGAGGTCTTCCTCGCATTGGATAGCGTATGTTTTGGCCAAGAGCGCTCGGAGTGTGACTTTGGGAAGGCAAGAGAGCATGAATGGAGAGGAGATGGTCGATGGGGGTCCGGATTTGTGTGGCTTAACAGAAGAGTGTTGTGTAATATATGGACACCTTTTATGTGACACGTTTACATCTTAATGGGCCATAATCGTCAGTGGATCTAATGCACCATTAATGGCCCACAATCTATCTGGCTGTTTAATAGGATGCCACCCAATAGATGCTCCAAAGTGAGTCCTTCCTCGCGAGAGAGTGAATGCGCGCGAAGCACGAGCCGGAACTCGCCATTCGATGTTTTTTGATCCACTTGCAATCGCCAAAGAATCTGATTTTTCTCCAACTGATAATTTATTATCACGGGCGTTTTGTGTGTTAATTGAGATGAAAGTGGAATGAATTGTGCTGCATTGAGTCGAGAGCATTCTTCACAAGATGCAAATTCACAATAAATTATACAACGCAAAATAGACTTCAAGCTCCAGAATTTCTCACTCTCTCGCTCGCACTCGCACTTTGGCTGTTGTGGGCGATTATTAGTGTCACAGACAATCACTTTGATGCCACAATCTTTTTCGTGAGATGATCACAACTGGTTAGGAATGTGGCTATCAAATAGGAAATGGGAGATTCCGCGTCAGGTGCGAAGCACAGATAAGCCTGTAATAAACAGAGACGGCTTTCATTTGATCCTGAATTCCATTATAGCTATCAGCATTGCTAACAAGTCTTTTGGGGGGTCTTCAACGTGTGATCGCTCGCAGTTTGAATGGGTGGAAAATGGTTGATCGCGATCTTATCGCTGGCTGACTTTTACAGAAGAGTTCAGCATCATTTCGAAAAGCAAAATTGCATGGTAATTCCAGCATAACGGTCCCCATCGATGAGCCAACTTCAACTTCAATCATCTTACCACGGAATAAGAAATTGGACAAAGAGGCAAATGCCATTGTCTCTCATGCAGACAACAATTTCCACCAGATTTAGAGGAAATCCAGCTCTGCGTGTGATTGATTTCATACTGGTGGGCATAAATGAATTTTCAATTGTCGTGAGTGGTGCAGAAAAAATGGCAAGAGCTTAACGAAAAAAGAAGGTGCATGAATATCAATTAAATTGATTTTATTCGGGCGGTGGCTGGATAATTGCATGAATATTGCTGGCAACAAATGCCTCGTTCGGATACAACGCGATGGAGAAGGCCTCAATAAGGCGAAAATCACACTTTAGCAGAATTTATGTACGGTAAACATGAAGCTTGGGCAATAAAATAAAAATTATACAATATATTCCGCGAATTTCGATAAGCAGAGGCTGCTGGCCGCTCTTGTGCTCTCGTGCTCCCCAAAGAAAGAGGCACAGGCGAAGCAGATTAACTCGCGTTGTCTTGTGTCTTTTCCATCTCTTATGGGCCCTGCTGAGCCAAACGGAACGATGACTCTTGGCCAATGAGCGAAAAACATCACAGGGTTATTCGCAGCAGACGCAATTGCACTTGAGTGGGTGGAAGTGGGTGTAGATCACTCATCAGCTTCGGCGAAAAGAAAGTGAAAAAATTATACTGACCGTTACGATAATTGATGTTGGTCTATTTAAATCAGTGAGCAAGAAACACTCTCATTTACTTCAGTTGTTGATTTCTCCATGTAATTTTGCGGGGGCTTAAAGCATTTCTTTTCTTTAAACGTCTTAAGTGTGTTTAAAGCAGCCTTGCATCCATTCTGACTGCAAGATAAAGGTCAAGATATTGAAGCTATCGAGGCGAGAGACTGCAAAATATCAACCACTTTGAAATCATATGGAAATGCCCCTTTCTCGCTATTTTTCCATGAATTGCTAATCATTAAGATCTTACTGATTTAGCGTTCAGAAAAACTTTTGAAGGTACACTTAATTCTAAGTATAAAAATAGAGGCATCAAAGCGTTAGTTCATCATCCTATGGTAATTAAGGTTGTGACAAATCTTAATCCCAAAGCGCCATTATGCAATATTAATATCTTGATGAGAAAACCATCATACTTGAGAGGCACAAATATGGAGAGAAAATGGTTGAAAACACCAAATTTCACAGAAATCTCGATAATTAGCGCTCGTGTGGCTCATTAGCAATTCATGGAGGCGCTAATGGGTGCATTTCAAAATGTCATCTCGTGCCCAAAGAAGATCGATGGGAAAATGATCTAGGTGAAAATGGCAAGGTAAAAAATTACTTTGTGTGCGAGCAACATAATGCACTTTATGCTGAGCATGATGATGAAGAATAACCGGTATCGCTGGGAAGATCCATTCTTGTTTCCCTTTTTCCAAAAGCCCATTTTGCAATCAACAATGTGTCAATTACGGAGTCCCCGGAGAATCTCAAATTGCCTCCATGCTGTCAGTTGATTGAGCGCACTAAATGCGCCTATTTCACCTTTCCATCGTCGCCGACAAGATCCTCGGCCGGTGGAGTCTTCCGTGTCAACATTGTTGCATCGGCGCATGACGCTAATGTGGAAATAATCTCCTAACCTTCCTGTCGCGCCTCGCGGGCCTGAGGTCAGATTGTTGCTGGACGACTTCCTGAGAACATTCCGGCATCGTCGATAAATCACACACAGAGTCACACACTCGCCTGCATTTGCTCTCTGGGGCAGAAGCCCTCCCTCGATCACCGTTGATGGATAAACAATATTTACGATGCGCCTCTCGCCCTGCCATAATAGCCTGATTGATTCATTGTTCGACCAGAGATCTTCAAGCGAGCACGAGGAATTATTCCTCAGCATGATGAGAGTTTTTAATCAGCCACAAGAAGGGGACGATCACTCATGAAAGCAGATGTTCTTCGCTGCCACAAGGACAAATTTGCATGCAAATTCTAATCTGTGAATTGTATATTAGGAAAACTCCAGACAAAGTGTCGCTAATACGTACTTCCAATGAACTAAAGGTTAATTGATACTAAGTAATGATCGTCCCTTTGAGTGGCGAAGAAAAGCGCGCGACATAAAGGCTGTCGGCGACATCATCGTGTATTGTTTCGATCGATTGTCTCCGCGGCAGTGTATGTGGCGCCCCATTGGGAGGATTTTGACTGTTCTGGACAGATCTCATTGGGGCCCCGGTGAGAGAAACGACCACTCAGTCTCAGGGACAGACGTGCAAAAATGGGTTCGGCCGAGCAAACAAGAGGACCCATTGAGAGGCGCCACAAAGCGAGGCTGCTCGAGAAACTTTTTCTATGAAATATGACTCGCGCGTCTCATCTAATGCCAAGTGTCTCAAGGCAATCCTCTCCGCGCTGATTGCCTCATCCATCATGGCATTCTTTGGTATCCCTTTGAGCTTCTGCACGACACCTGCCACCGGAGAGCCTCCTCCGCCGCGCCTGAGAGCGCAGCTATCGTGAGAGTGTGTCACAAATTAATGACGGAGCATTTGAGATGCATCAATGATCGCTGGTGTGGCCGTGTTAAGTGGCGGCAAGTGGGTCACTCAATGGTAATTGTGAATGATTGTGATGGTTCAGAGTTCACAATTAACCGCTATGTCGCTATTGACGAGCAACGTTGGCCATCGAGAAGCAAATGAGTAAAATTCTGCGGTCGGACAAAGTGCTCTAAGCAGTGAAGTTATAAAGCAAAATTCTTCCTCGCGAAACTTGTAGTGAAGTCACTATGATAAACTTCTTATTACGATTTACGGTAAGTTCATCAATTCAAATGAATCTCCGTTCTAATTTCGAGCATCAGAAATGCACTTCATTTCGATATTGTCGACAATTGCACATATAATGCCGAGATTCTGAGTGATTTGGGCGCATTTTATTACTTCTGAGAAGAGAAGCAAATTTTCATGGAAGAGAGACGCGATGGCATAATTTCACCATTGGCAATCGCCCATGATCAATCGGATGCCAATAAAACAGCCACGATGACCTTCTGCGATGCCCACAAAACGACTTGTCCGCGAGGCGCATACACGGCCAGAGTCAAGCTCAAGAGCACCATTTTGGGAAATTATGTGAATTTTTCCACGCTCCGCGATTACTTAACACGATCTGATCATCGTGATGGGGAAGACGCACGGAAATATGGTCAGATCTAGTTGCGACGTGGGTCTATTTGGGATGCCTGAGCGTCGTGTGTGATCGGCAAGTGGGTTAAGTGCTCATCACGATCACCCATTGATGCTCTGCACCAATTAGTGTGTCCCATTTCTGCGCCACAGCCTGCGGAGAGGCGATTCCCACAGGGAAGGGAAGAACAACAAGGGCATCCTCTCTCACACTGCTTTTGCATACAATCTTCATTAGTTTTTAGAGGTGATCGCATTGGTAACGGATTTCACCGCAGCACATAAGCGGGTTTTGGAGATGTGTGTTCTTTTCTTCTTGCGCGTCTGAGATGCGACTCTTGGCCCAAAGACCGCCTTTATCTCCTCAACCACAAGACTCTTTCTCCTCACCCAACACTCTCGGCACAATCACACATCTGAAAGCACATTCGTGTTAGCCAAGCTGTGCCATCGTCAAAGCACGGTGGAAAAAAGGCCCCAAGATAAACAGAACAGCTCATTCACCAACTTAATCCCGCGCGCTTTCAGGCCACAATCAAACACATTTCGCGCAATTTCAGCGATTAAGATGTATCAATAAAGTCCCCGGCCAAATATCTTGCGCGCTTCTTCGCCAACACTCTTTGTCCATAATAATCTTCTGATGTGTGTGCGACGAAGTGGGAAAAACGAGGTGATCTCTCTGTGGTCTGGGGAAGAAGATCCATTAATACGATTGCGGGAATTGAAACGAAATCAGTGTTTTATGGCCCCACAGACACACAACCTGTCGTACTTTGGTGGCATTAACAGTAAATTACCCACATTCAATAGGAGGATCACCTGATATGAAATTCGATGTCACAGCATCACTTTTCTCAACCACACCTGACAACGCTTGCAACGAGTTTCTTCCTTCCCTCCGAGGCACAATCTATCGGTTTCCACTGTTTCTCTCACTATTTTTTTCCATCAGCAATGCGCTGCTCTGAGATGTGAATGAAGAGCAGTGTAAGAAGAGCAAAGAACTTGAGATTTAGGGAAAGTCTTCTGTGTCTCACAAAAAGGAGGAAAACAGCTCTTTTAGAGCTGTTCTAAAGCTTCAATTCTCTGTTTTGCTTCAAAGGTGTGTCAGAAAGAGTTTGAAATGTATAAAATGTAATGACACAATCTTGTTTATCGCTCATCATTTCATTTTATTTATTCCTTGCCAACGGTCTGCAGCGTAATATTTACGTCATATCCGTTTAGAGAGTAATCGCAAGATGAGTTTGTGAAAGGATCTCAGCAAGAATGCAAATTCATCGGAAATGCAGGAAAAAACACATTAACTCGCGTGCGGAAATAATGAGAAAAAGTCAGGACGGAGGTGAAAATGATACTTTTCTCACCCAGAGCGAAATCCAGACGTAACAACATCACAAATCTCTTGCTGGGAAATGGTCGTTAAGTTGCGAAATTAATATTCACAGACACGACAATTGAGCAATATGGCGAGATGGCGAAAAAAAAGTTCAAAAGGCTCAAAATGATTGTCGTGATCAGTGGTGATCTTTGTGGTGTGCCAGACATTAAGCAATTGCGTGCGGCCTCTCGAAAAAATCACGAAAAATGATCTAAAAATTAGTGTCGCCGTGTAAAATGCGGCCTTTATGCAATGCGCAGATGACGATTTATTCATTTCTTTTGGCTCGTTTCACTTTCTTGTTAATTCCCTGTAATGCTGCTCGCGCAGAAGCCAACACATGACGAAATCCCCAGGCCAGACACTTTATAGACAATTGTGTGTTATTAAAAAGTGTTGTCGTCGTCGACGAGGAAGGTGAAACGCGGAGGGCTGATGAGGAAGAAGTTGTAAAATGGCAAGCTGGCAAATGCGGATTTTCGATTATAATCTCAAATTTGAATATGATATAATAAAAAAATAATAATAGTTGGATGGAAAGGAGCTAAGAGTGGAACGAGTGCGGCTTTAGAAGTGCGACTCGGAGTAATCATTTTTGTGATATTTCAGCATTCACGATCCCCGCTCTGCGGATTCCCTCCCGGATTTGTGCCCGCGCTCATGCGCCTCTATGTCGAGAGACAAGTATTCATTCCTCGGATTTGAACATTTTACACACGGACAATTTACAGTTGAGGCCAAGAGAGGCAGAGAAAGAGATAAAGTTGCAGCAGCAACATCGACAAGTTGAAATGGTTCAAAAACCATACAATATAGCCAAGAAAATCCATGCTAAATTGGGTGAGTCTCTCGATGGACGAGATCGTTTCTCTCTTGGCACTGATCATTTTTTTCACCTCCTCTCGCGCGCGTTTTCTTTACTTTATACTTCTTCCAGTGTTGACCTAAAGCACTTTGGATGGATGGTCTTTTTTATATTATACATTCAGCGAAACAGAGTCTCTTTCTCTCTCCTACTTGCCATTCACAAATTGAGCAAATTGGCTCTTTGGATTGCGCAAAGCATCCAACATCTCACGATCGCCCATGAAGAACAATTAAATTCATCTATATATTGATTTATTGTTGATTTCATCCCGCACAATTCAACATTTTCTTGGCCAGAGCATTGGAAAAAAGCACAAGGAGAGAAAAAAAAGCGGTAACACAATAGATCTCAAAGGGGCGTTCATTGAGACAGATTGAAGTCGTCGTGCGCATTTTGCGAGAATCAATAATTCTGACACTCAGCTTGAATCCCCTAAAATCGTTTCCTTTTTCAGTCATAACAGAATATCTAAAATTATAAGCAGTTGGCTAGCTTTTCGATGCTGCCGCCAAAAGTGTGTGTACAGAAATGGAAAAAATGACGAACCCTGTGGCTAGATCTCATTCTTTCCTGCGCCACTCTCTCGCCTCGAATCCGGGAATGTAATGGATCGTCTGAGGAGAAAGATGAAACGATTTCACCCACAAAGACTCCCAAAGGCAAAGAGATCTCAATAGATTCGCTCTCCTGGCAAACCTTTCACCATCTCTCTGACACGAGAAATTGATCTTCGGCTCTTCTTAATTGCACCATCTTCAGCCGTGGATTGACTCTGTGTGTGTCTGATTTTCGAGGAGTCACTCGCCAGGGCACGCAGAAATCATAATCCACGGAGGCACTCCGCAGCCGCGGGGCAGCAAAGACAAGACAAGAAAAAAGGCAAGAGAATCGGGGCCCAACATCGCGCACTGGAACGTGTAACGATAATTTTCTATACAGACAATAAATAGAGGCGTACGTTTCGTTGTGGCATTGCACACATTGTTGGTACGTTTAGTGTTCTCGCGAGAAGTGGCCATTGAGGAACTTTCCCACGCTAGGCGAGACTCTTGTGGATACAGAGATACACTTGGCCACCTCTCCGCGCCCGCCGCCGCCGCCGCCCCTTTTGTGATATTACAAAACAGCCAATTGAGGAACTGAAAAGCTCTCTTTTCGATCCCAACACAACACTCGGCAAACTCCCATTTTCGAAAGCATCATCTCTCAAATCACCTCTTCTGCTCTGTGCATTGATGAGGTTTCCACTCCATCCGGAAAATTATACATTCTTTTCTCCCCAGTCAAGATCACGCGGTCAGTTTTAAAGTGGAAGTCGACTCTTTGTTGCCGGTTTCACCTCAATTCTCCGTCATGTCTAAAGACTCACACAATTTTGTACAATAGCAAGCACTTTTAGCAGCTCCACAGCAATATAATAATAAGCTGTAATGTGCCTTTTATTTTCACGGAGATTTTCTCGAAAACTCAACCGGAGAACCGTTTCGATCATCATCAAAAATTTTATGGTGAACTTAACTGGAAAGAATGGAAAATAGAAACCACTTCACTCTTCAGTGACTCTTTAACGCACGATTCTCGAAAATAAAATCTTTGTATGTTTCACAGCGCGAGAATAGAATGAAAACATCTCGCAATTTCTCAAATATTTCCGCAAAGTGACTTCATTCCAAACAAGCCCAAGATTAACAAAGCAGGAAAGCCTCGCGCCAGATTGATTTATAGACATTCTCTCAGATTTTGCCACTTTATTCGGTGGATGCTCTTGAATCTTCGCTTCGCAAACACTCCAGCTCAGCACAATGTTGCAACATTCAACCAGTTTGGCGATAATGCCACTCTTCATGCAGCAAATACATCATCGCGTCAATTTTAATTTCAAAATACCACCAAATGGAGAATTCTCAATGTAGCGAAAATGTATGAAATGTGAGGTACAGAATCGTATCGAAAATAGTGAGACGCATTCAACACATAGAAATAAACGACGATTAAAGATTTCCTTAATGAGCTGAAGAGTTTATAATTTATCTGTTTGGCAATCTAAAAGCCTATCATCAGTCGCATGTTTGCGGTTAATTAATTAATTGATTGAATATCTTTCCAACAAATTGACCATAGATAAAACTGATTGGTGAAACTCTGTCAATTTGAACGTTCAACATATATTTTAAAATTTAAATCAATCACAAACTAATTGTGTGAATTGTTTTTGCATATCTTACGATTTCTAATTAAAGAAACATGCGAATTCTGATGATCAATACTTTGTCATTCAGTTTTGCTGTCCACCAAGAAGAGGTGAGGAAAAATGAGCGTCTGAGAAGGTTATGGAGAAACGACCAGGACTCAAAATGCCACATAATTTAATTCTAACTCTAGATGAGCCACCATTTCCGGCACAACCCTGCACTGCTGCATGATATCAAATGAGCAAATCATTAACTCGTTCAGCGTCTTTCTTTGCTCTCGTTTGCGCACACGAAGAGAGTCATTTCTTTGATTGATCACGGCGCGAGGAAAAAGTAGCGAAATAATGTTGATTTAGTACCCTGTCACATGCAATTGGTGTGATCAGCCAAGTTTCTGGCGAACAGAGAAGCCCATGATTCTCACCTGAAATAGATTCTCCGCATTCTCGATTATATTCGTGATGTTGAGGAAGGTAACATGGAAAAATTCTGTGGAAACATGTGAGAATCTTTGCACACCACTTACATTTTCATTGTCTCATCTCTCTGCCCGGATAATTTATGCCCAGCACACAATGGAATCTTTGGCGGATGCTATCTTTCTCCCCTCCTGGTCGGCTCGGTGGGCAGACACAGGAGAAACCACCCCGCGTTGGACTCTCTCCTCGGCAGATCAGCGGCAAGTGCACGCGTAGAGGCCAACAATGCCGAGGTCTTGCGATTGTTGGGCTGTGCATTTTCCTACATTCAGGCAGCGACGAGGAATTGCTCAGGAGGATTGAGCAAGTACATAGACATTGCGAAGAAAAAAAGAGATTCTCTGCATCTTAGAACACACGGTATTATTGTTTCAAAGTCACGAACTTCACCATAACGGTATACAAGATGTACATATTTATGGTTAAACATTATTCGTATCTAATACCTAAACAACTATTTATTTTTTGTTTTTACTCTCTTGTAATATCATTACAATAATTTAATTATTTCTCTTCTCTTTCGTATTTCCTCCTCCTCCTTCATCAATCTCTCCGCGTCTTCCCCGCTCTTCTCACTCACGTTCTGCCTCTCTCTCACTCTCTCTCTCTCTCTGTCTCCTCTCACACTTCTCCCGCCCGCTCTTTGTGTTTGTGTGTGTATTCTTTTCTCTTCTCATGTGCAAAAAAATATTGAACAATTACAATACCAAAAAGTAAGAAGAAGAAGAAAAACGATTCAATAATCGCATCTCATTACAATAATATTAATTAAAAACTTTCATCATTTAAAATGTCTATGCATTGATTACATTCAGGAAAGAAAACTGATAACATGATTCTCATCTCTTTTTTTAAAGTGGCATTTATGTACTTTGCTATTTTGAAATCACAGTTTAATCAATCTCCATTACATTTTACAGCTTATAACACCTTAAAAACGTTTTACTTTTGTTTTACTTCATTACCATTTTCACTATCTTAGAACGTTTTGTTTCCTCATCATTTTTAATCTTTCTTTTTCCTTGTTTGTTATCATCTAAAAAATTTTTACTCTCAGTTTCTCCTTCACTTTCTCTATTATCTTCACTCAATTTTTTGTCATTCTTAAACATCTAAAGGCATGTAGTGTGTTGTTTTTTTCATCTCTTTATTGTTTTACATTCTTACGGTGTAAATTAAAGGTGTGATTCAACGTTTCTTTTCTTCATTGCTATCAGTATAAAATTAAGTGAGAATTTTTGCTTCTTTGCATCTTCTACATGTTCTTTTGTAACATCGGCATTCCGAGGGGGAAAAACACGACACAAAATCAAAAAATATGTAAGACGAAACTTCTTTTTGGCGTGTCCTTTCATATCCACATTTAGCAATACATTTTGTTTTCACCAATCATCGACTTTCTTGTGTGTGTGTTTGAAATCATTCTTTTCATTCATATCTTTTTTCTCATATCTTTTTGTATGCTGACTTGTTTTCTTGTTTTCTCTTTTAAAGTTAAACTCAAAATTCATCACATTTCATCATCTTCCATTGTCTTCATTTGAGGCCCCTGTTATCAATAACAATTGATTTTGTTATCAAATACAATTTTCACATTTTTCATTTTTTTTTTTTTTGATAAATTTGTATTGGTTGTTGAGATGATGTTGTCAATTATTGGTTGTGAATGTAAAATATTTAAGACTACATTAAGTTTAAAGTGTTCGAAAGCAAATAACACAAGCAAGTATCATGTTGGACTACTTAATAACTCACCTTCCATGGTTTTCCGGGCTCAAATTCTGGAATATCTGGCCACCCGTCAGATGCATTATTTGGTTCGGAAGACCAAGGTCTGCGCGAGATCAATGAAAGTTCAGAGTCAATAAAAATGCATTGTGCTAGACAGACATTGGCAATCTTTTACTCACCCTTCATAGTTCATGGAAAAATTCATTGTGAGATGTGGTGGCTTCGTAGAAGTTCCTGGAGCTCTGGAAAAGTTCGCCATGTCGTTGTCTGGAGTCACACTAGGCGGAAGTTTCCACTGGTTGAGTCGACTCTGCACTTGAGTTCCAGCCTGAGGAGCTTGACCGAATGGCAGCTTCTGATTCTGCTGCTAGAGAACGGCAAAATAGGCACAGCATTACATAAAATGTCCTCTTCGACAACTAACAACCAAATGGACTGGAAGCTAATTTGATCTGAAATGTCACAATTCCTCACCTTGTTCAATGCCAAGTCTGTGAAATTTCCCTGCAATGATCCAATGGGATCGAATTGCTGCTGAGCCCGTTGATAATCGGCAACTGATTGTTGTTGCCCTTTGAAGACTGATGGCTGAGAAGATAATTGATTCTGAGGCGCAGGAAGGTGCTGAAAGCAACATGACAACATTACACATCCAACAAAATCTAAACACTATACTCAGAAGTAAACTGCACGAACCTTGATATTATTCAAGAGTTGACTTAGAAGTTGCACAGTGTGAGGAGAGAGCGGTTGATTGAGAATCTGTTGATTTAGATATCCCGCCTGGACTGCCATTTCGATCTGCTGCACGAGACCACGTAGCTGATGAATGGATGGCTCGGTGGTTGGATTAGCTGCCTGGAGTTGATTTAAGTTAATGCCACCGCCCCCAGCAGCCCCTTGTTGTGATGATACCAAAGGATTGTTGGAAGCCTGGTTCAGGTACTTCTGAATATGTAGCAGCTGTGCATTGTCCAAGCCACTGCCATTAATGGCGCCGGATGATTGCTGTGGATGTTGCGATGGTGGCGGTGGAAAACGCCCAGATAAGGCACGTCCTGGCTCACAGAAGTCACCCCCGAACTTCCCCATGCTCCTCTGTGACTGACCCAGGAGTTCAACGGCTTCGTCCATGTTCATGTTTGTCATCTGCAGGGCGGTCTCGATATCATCAGCCTTGAAGCCCATTGTGCTCATGAGACGGAATTGTTTGCTGCTCCGGATGATCTCTTGCACCTTGTTAGTGCCACCCATGCGATTGCCACTGCCGAGGGCGAACTTGTTCATGCCATTCGGGGCATTGAAGTGCTGCTGTGGCTGTCCATTGGGCGTCCAGTTGCGGAACTCACCCTGATCTGGCCACACGCCACCACCGCCCTTGCCGGACTTTCCCCACAAGCCGCCACCACCGCCACCTCCTGGCGTCTCCGGAGCTGCGCGGTCGCCCATCTGGTCCCAAAGGCCATTCTTCGTCATACCCTGTGCCCATGGAGTAGCGTCTGGCTTCGCGGCGAAGCGATCAGGAAGATTCGGTGGCGGCTGCATGGGTCCAGCCGCGAGGCGGCTTCGCACGCCGCTCACGTCGGGAATGTCGTGATTCCAATTTGCCGCTCCCGCATTAGCCTGCGGTGGCGGCTGGACGGCCTGTGGCGGCTGATGCTGACTCCAGAAACTCGTGGTGGCCGGCTGAGTGGGCGGCATCTGAGCAAGCGGGTCCTCGCCCCAACCAGATGCCTTCGATGGGTTATCCATGAGATTGAGACGACCAGTCACGCCGCCGCGGATCATCGAGTCGGCACGCGAATCATTCCACACGCCCCCACCGGGAGCTGCGGCTCCACTTCCTGCCGCGGCGGACCAGATATTGCCGCCCAAGGCACCAGCATCTGCCTCCACGGAGGCCACGGTGGGTGGTGGGGGAACAACCGCGGCGCCCGGAGCCTTGTTCACCGCCGGAATCGCAGGCATGCCCTCCACGAGGTTCCACTGGAACTCCCCTCGGGACGGGATACTGGGCGTCGTCGACCACACGCTACTGCCGCCCTCGTCAATCTCGTTATTCTCACCCCAAGTGCCACCGAAATTACTCGCTGGCACGTGATCCCAGCCGCCAGTGCCTCTATCCTCCGGCAACTGTTGCGTCTCCCGATGGCCTGGTCTCGTGAGGTTCTCATGCCACAATTCCGTACCCGTGGGCGCAGCCACGCCACCGGACGCATCGAGAGATTTCGTGGGTGACATCGCCACCTCCCATTGAGTCTCCTGATTCACGTGATCCTTGCCCCAGCCCTCGTACGCGTACAGGGCATCGCGGAGTTGATTGAGTTGATTCTTGGCCGCATTGGCAGGCGCCACCGGTGCTGCAGCCGCCTCAGATTCACCCGTTGCCATGGCGGCGTCCGGCTTCGCAGCATTCAGATTCACACTTCCGTTGGGATTCTCACTGGCCTGACTCGCACTGGCCTCCATGGCGCCCGGATCACACTTTGGCACCTTACTGGCGACAACATTAGCACCATTGCCGGTGGGTGGCGGCCAATCGAATTGCGACGGTGGCTTCGCAATTCCCAAATTGAGTCTCGATGTACCCCAAGCACCATCCTCATTGCAATTGTCATCCGCTGTCGTTGTCTTGCCCTGCTGCTGCTGTTGCTGTTGCTGCTGCTGCTGCTGCTGTTCAGATCCGCCAGACCCACCGGCCGCGTTCTCACCCCACGTGGCCCCCTTGGTCGGGCTCCCCCAGCCACTGACAGCGGGCGCACCGCTCGACGGCAGGAACTCATCGTACCTAAAGTAATCCTTAACGCTATGACTATGATCTACATTGGCAATTGTTTCGATATCACTCCTTTCCATTTTGTCGTCTTTTCCTGCCATCATTTCTGTTTCACACTGTTGTCTGTGCGTTAATCATCACCACATGGAATAGTTGGAATATCGCCTTTAGATCCTCCACAGCTCAGCTTCTTCTGCTACTCTTCGCCTTCTTCACCTGAAACTTTCGGTCTCTTCACGTGTCCTTCGAAAGCTTCAAAGCCACACACGTCAACTTCTGCAAAGACAATTAAGAAGAAGAAAATCAATCAGTAATGAAGGAAGTTTTCTCTGTCTCAATCACCCAGAAAATTCAATTTATTCACACCTCATGTTGAGTAACCAATAGAGAACTTTCGCTTTTTTACTATCTCTTAACCCTTACGCCCGGAAAAATTCTGAGCCAACGATATAAAAACATCAACTAAATAATCATTTTTCTTCCATCTAGTCCTAAAGGGTTAACATGTTGACTGAATTGCGGTGCCAATCTGAGAATTACATTCCCAGCAAATCGATCAAATATATACACAAACCGCAAACTTCTAATGACAAGACATGAGACAATTCACTTCTAATGAACACACCATTCGACATATTGATAATCACTTCTCTCTCCACTAAAGGAGATCCAGGCATCTCAAGAGATGAAAGAAAAGACACATTTTGAATGCAATTGAAACCTCCTCTGTAGCAAAAGTCGTCAGCGACATTTATAAAATGTTTCCCACATGCGACTTTATATCATGATCGTTGAATTTCCACGTGAAAATGTGCACAACAAGAGTGGATTTTGTGTGCGCACACCAACTCTTCAAATAGCATATAAAACATTGTATCTTATCGCTTGAATCAGTCCCATTCTACCTCTGCTCTCATTCATTTCTTTCACAGAGTGTGACATACACAGTTGGATAGACTTCCTCTTCTTCCTCTTCGCCTCGCTCTGTGCCCATCTTTAGCAAATCCGCGGACAGAATGTCAGTGGAACCGACGAAATATCACCATCAATCGTCTGTGGCATCTACAATTACACCATCCAAGGGCCACTTTCGATCTTCCTCGCTGGAGAATAATATTTACACACCGATCAAGAGTGTCACAGCCTCTTCGTCACCCCTCACATCGCTTCAATTACCCAACACTGGCATCCCATTTAGCACTGGGACCCTCAAATCCAGGCGAGAACAGAAACGCCTTACGGACATTGTGGCTCAGCATCATCGCATGAATTCTGTGGATGATCTCAATAGTCGAAAGTCACAATTTCGCCTTATTCGAGACATTTTTGAGCAGAACAAACCAGCAAATGATCCAACACCAACCGCTGAAAGCAATTCTGTCACTGTTGGTGATGCCAAGCCACCGAAAATTCAATCTTGCAGTGGAGTTCTAGAACAGGTATTATTCCAAGGAGATCTTTCGTGGTCTGATTTAGCAATTCGCTGTCACTCTTTCAGGGGAAACAAGTGATAAGACCCATTGCCTTCAAGCCTATTCCCTACACTCACGCAGAGCCAGTGAATCAGAGATTCAGCGACTTGGGCGATCGCTATGGATCAACACCATCACTAACTCCCAACATTGGCAGTAATCTGAAGTTTGGCAGTAAGACATAATCAATTGATCTTCGATCTCATATCTAATGTAATAACTAAATTACAGGCACAAGCGACTTGAGATACAATTGCAGTGTTGGCAACCGTAAATCACTGCATTGCTACAACACATACGACAGCCTAGAATCAATATCAAAGTCTCCCGACTCGATAGCAACTAGTCACAGTACATTGTAAGTATATTTTTCAAATCCCATGGAAGAAAAGTGAAAGTGAAAAATGAGAGCTTATATACATCTCCGTTTCTTTCTCACATTCCTCACGATCTCTGGCATTTTCTTGTGACACAAAGCAGAAAGACAATAATGCCATATCATCATCACAACAATCACCATCATCATCATCATCATCAGGATCTATTGGATATGACACCATCGCCGTCAGATTCTGGAATATCGGAATTAGAGGCGGCACTGCGTGATCGTGACTCGGAACTTGCATACTTGCGCCAAACAATGGAGCACAATGAAAAAGTAATATTTAAAGTTCATCAGGTATTTTCCCTTTTTCTCTTATATTTTGTACATATTTTTGCTGTCCAAATCGTTGTGATATTAACCAGTGAGAATTCAAGAGTCCAACCAAATGTCCTAATGATTCACACAATCTCTCATTGATCGTGACAGGACAAGGAGAAACACTGGGAAGATGAGGTGAAGCGCATCAAAATCATCCACGAGAGTCGCTTGCGCGCCAATGCGCAGAAGATACAGAAGTTAGAGCAGATGCTCATGATGCAATCATTTCAGCTGCGCCAGCACAAGAAGCGATCAGCTGAAGATATTGATCGACTCAACGGCACAATAAGTGAGGTGAGAGATCAAAATGAGCGCTACAGAAATGAATTGTGTCACATGAAGATCACAGAAAAAGACCTCAAGGAGCAAAATAGCGATTTGACCGAGGAGGTGCAAATACTCCGTCGCATGATTGCTGACTTCAAGACACGCCTCGAGGAGACAGACTGGGCCATTTGTCAGAAGAGTGGTGAAACAGCCCTGCTCAAGTCACAACTCCGCGACGCTCAGGTTTGTGCACACGAACCACTCTGACCATTAATCAAGCTATTACACTTTCAACATCTCTTTCTAGAATGACCTCATGGCGAAAGATCACGAGATTGCCCAACTCCGCATTGAGATTCGCAACCAGAATTGGGAAGACAAGAATCACACATCACACCAAAACATCCAAGACAGTGCAATGGACACAGCACTCGAAGTGTCTCAACTCAACAGAATCATCATTCTTAAGGATCAAGTTATAATGGCCATGACGAATGAGATTCAGAAGCTGCGGAAGGAATTGTCTGATGTCTCACTGCTGCAGAGTTACGAAGGCATTCCACCGGGTCGAAACACCGCCTGCAAATACCGCAGAGATATCCTTGACTTTCTCTATGCTGAGAACGACACAAACTCCGGAGAGGATCGCGACAAGTGTCCAGAGAAAGATATCACCAAGTTTATCAGCAAGATCGAAGAGACCAAGAGAAACACACTGCAGGACTACCCATTCCTCGCTAAAGTGGAAAATAACACAGACAAGAGCAAGAAGCCATCGCTGGACGAAATGAAGACCATATTCCTCAACAATCAGATCTATCCATACGACTGCAAGGACAGCGTCAGCAATCTCTTCAACATGACCCTCAATTTGCTTCAACCCTCCTCACCGGCGAAAAACCCCAGCGATCCCGAAGATGAGACCAGCAGTGAAACTGAGAGTAGCAAAGCAACGGACTCTCAATCGTCATCACCCACATCAACAGCGGACAGCACAGTGAAGACCCTCCAGACGGAGCTCGAGGAGGCAAAGGCCAGTTTCGACCAAGAGAGAGTCAAGTGGGCTGAAGAGAAGGAGAAGGTACTCTTCTACCAGCGACAACTTCAACTCAGCTACATGCAAATGATTAAGCGCACACAACTGCTCGAAGAGAGGCTCAAAACATGTGGACTTGGTGAAGAGAGCAGTGAGAAAATAGTAGCATCTTAGAAAACAATCGCACTCAATAACTGCACTATTATACGCAAATTCTCCCACGAGACTCACACACAAACTCACTTTAGAGGCATTGAAGGCATTATTACAATTTGCATTCCGTATTCATATGAGACGCTTCGCCGTACCTTGAATGATAGGCTTTTTGTCTTATCTCAATTGTGTAATAATCGTAAGAAAAAAAGTATGAAAATTACTCTCTAACAGCACATCGAAAGAATCAATTGATTCAATATTATACTCTATTCTCTCAGCACTGCGTTATAAATTAGATGCACAGTACGAAATTTGATTATCAGCCACAATTTATATTCCATTCTTATTTATTACATGCTGTACATAAATGAATTTTAGAGCAATAAACAAAACATTCTACTGAGAAATTCTACCCTTTCTCGCCAAATCAAGTGTATAAATTTGAGGATTTGTTCTCAAAACATTCCGATATTCCTTCTCGAGTCTCGCAAAGGTCTTGCCAATACCACGAGGAGTTGATCTTTTGACTTCCATCAGTGTCTTTAGACGACTATTCAAAGCCCTTTTCTTAGCACTTCGCGGCATTCTTGGCGTACTTTTCATCCTCAACATCATATTAGCCTTTTTCTTGTTTTGTGCTCTCGCCAATTTCAAGAATCCCCTTTCATTCGACTCCAATAGTGACTGCTCAAATGTGAAAAATGGCACATTGACCGATAAACCACGCATTGAACTTGACTTTGCAGAAATATTCAAGGGCTCAGGCAAATTTCCCATATTCCTCTTTCCCACAGGCGCTAATGATTCCAAACTTCTCGATGGAACTTGCTGAAAAATAGCCACAATTTCGCGTGAGAAATGATCACATTCCTGTGTTTTCTCAAAAAACTCTTTTACCGTCAATTTGGTAGCAATTTTCTGGTAATTTCTCAGTGCCATTGTTCAACTTGCAGGGAATTTTGTACAGTCAAGAGAAAATTTTCGCAGACACTTTGTTCTCTTCAAAACCACTGTGATTTTCTGGAGAAATTGTCAAGGCACACATTTTTCCCACGTAAAATTATCACGTTCAGCTTTTTGAGGTAAGTGAACTTGTCAGTTCAGCTTGAAGGTGAGTTTATGTTATACAATTCATTATTTAATAAGCAAAATGTTACGCTATATATTTCATTTGTGTGTTTCTCACATGATTTGCGTTAGGAAGAGACGCATTATAAGCAATTAATTGCCAAAACGATTTTTGATCAAATAAGTAAGTTTCAGCTATTGTAGTCTTTTACAAATTATCCTGAAACTCGTCTAATCACTTATTAATATTATATTGAGATTTTAAGTTAAGAGGAGTTAAGATTCTCCATATGACATTCAAGACAACATTAAATTGTACAAAATACATACTTCTCTTCAAATAAACACATATTGTCACGTGAATGAACATAAATTCGCATACTTCTTGGCGCAATGTTTGGATTTTGAATGTGAGACACATATGAAAGCGGATATATTGAGTGATCAGCATGAAAATTGATTTGTTGCCTCACTTTCCCTTTAGTGGACTCTTTCTCCGGACATTGCTGACTCACTAGCCTCAATTGAAACTGTTCACCCCGCAAAATGCAATCAGATGACGAGGACGTGAAAATACTAGGGGAAATCAGTGCTCAGCTGGCAATATTTTTTTCTTCACCACCCATCAAAACTGCTTTTGTTCAGTGGGATTTTTCGGACAAGAAAGAAGGGGACTCAGTGTACGTGATGCGTAGTGGGGCGCTCTCAGTCTCTATCTCACTCTCTCACTTCTCGCGTCGTCTGCGCGTTATCAGCCGGCGCAGAGTGAAATTCATCGACGGAACTTTCATTTGAGTTTACACAGGAAAGTGAATCGGGTGACTTCGTGAAATTGTGCCGTATTCTGACGTGTGATATCAATACAGAAAAATATACACTCTTCCTCACATTCTTTACCGAAACCAACCAACACACATGTTTGTCTCTTCGACTATACAGATCCCCAATTGATACGTATATATAGATAGATAGGAAATATATTACATAACACTCTCTTATCACACTTGTCCCAAAGTGAATTACATTTTCCCATCCGCGCACTTGTGTGTGAGGCACTCTCAGCCTTTTCTTCTCTCTCGCCAATTCCCGCTCTGCTCAACACGTATTGAGACACTCTGCCTGCGGTCTTCAATTTCGAAGCCCATCAAACATAGTCGGAAACCACGTTTTGCCACCAGTTTCAAATAAAATATAGACCTGCGAAGAGAAGATGGCGATTTTTGACTATTTTGGTGGTTTGTGCATCGTCATAGTTGCCGTGCAACTCCTCAGGATCGTCTTTCCGTGGCTTTATGAGAACTTCCTCGGGCCATGTGTGCTTGGCTGCCGCGTAAAATTGAGTGCAATGGGCGAATGGGCGGGTAAGTCTACCAAATCATCTAATATCCTATATTTTACCTCGTCTTCCGGACACTCACTGTGCCCGTCGAGCGCCCTTTTGACGTCTCAAGTGGCCCCACACTTCCTTCTCCTCAACCACACACTCACAGTACGCTTGGGTGGAAAAATTTACACACTAAATTATACACCATGACGAGCAATGAGTCGGTTTTATGTTAATAACTCTCTTCTCTCCCTGGACATTTTCACCAACAAAATAACACTACAAACCGCCTTTTCTGTGCCACAGCCACACACAGCAAAACCCTTCTTGTCGCCCCGAAGCACACCATCGACTTTTGATCGATATTTGTGAACTTTTCTGCGCTTTGTGAAATATTCCAGCCGAAAAAAGGTGAAAACCTGATAAAAATGACTACAGCGAGAGAAATTCTCCAGTGAGCACCGCAACATTATCAGGGAACCTCCTTCTAATCTGTAGAGCCCAGTTTTTTCTCACCCACCGACCTCACGATTTCCCCGCACTTTTCCCCCATGTTTTCCCATCATCAAAACGCTCCTGATACTGCTATTGAAGATTTCTAGTCGAAAACAACATCATTTCCACAGAAAGACTCAACAATTCGAAACTTTAGTGACCTAATAGAAGTGCTAAAAACACAACCAATTCGTGAAAATAATATTTTATTAGTGATTATATTCAGACAAAAAAAATATTTAAATGGCAAGACATGATCTCGAGACAGCATTCTGATCGTCAGATTTTTTCTCTCTAATCTTGTCGTGCCAACAATAACAGAAAAATTTCAGTCACAAATGTAGATCCTTATAAAAACTACTCCCAAGAGTTTTTGTCGATTCTGACGTGGTTTGCTTAAAACCAAAGAACAAGAACTTGCTTTGAAAAGTATTGCAAAAAAGGGATTGAGTAATTATGTCTTCCTGAAGGCCTTCAATTATGCTGTGATCGTAAGTTGAACAGCATCTTCTAAAGTATTTCAAGGACGAAGCATCAAGATTAATTAAAATGTCTAAACCAAATCAAAAGTTGAGTCTTTCCATGTAACTTTGTATCGTTTGTGAATCTCAATTCCTGTAAGTTTCCAAAACCTACCACAGACTTCTCTCTCACTCTGGCTCTCTCTCTCTCTCACTCATTCACATGAACAATTTCCTGATAACAGAATCAACGACAAAGTGTGATAAAAGCAAGCCCCATTTGAGTGTAATGTCACATTATTAAATACGAGATTAACGCCCATGAATATCACCTTGCACTCCACCAAAAATTCACGGCAAAAAACATCCAGCAAAGCATCTCCACAAAAATACATTGTGTGACCTTTATTCGGAGATGGTTTTTACCTCTTTCTCTTGCGCAGCAAAAATGCAATTTCTCTTTCAGAATTGATTGATCCACTCCGTGAGTGTATGTGTGTAAATACTAAATTTCTTCTCTTCTCTTTTTCATCGTTTTGCTTGGACAACACTGGCAAAATAATGTAGTTGTGACCGGTGCGACGGAAGGCATAGGAAAAGCATACGCCAATGAAGTAAGTTTCACGCTAAGCGTGTGGCAAAAAGACTCATATGAACTTGAAAATATAATAACCCCAAAGTGAGAGAAAGTGCAAGAAATTGATTCTTTTTCTCACTTTTTATCATTCGCAATTCATGGATGTTTGTTGGAATTTGAGAGGGAGAATTTCTAAGTTATAATTGGCCGTATTTATCGCGTTTATCTTAAATTAACACACTATTTCACGATGAGACAGACAAGAGAGAAGAAGGAGAAAATTTGTAATCTTTTCGGGTAAAATCATCTGTTGATTCACGCTACAGCGACGCAATCATTTCGGTCAGTTATTTTAATACTTTCCATGTTTTTTTTCGAATAGTCTTCTAAATAAATAGACTTATAATTTCCTCTTCAAATAATTTTCTCATTTCCCTAAACAAACAATAGGGAAATACGCAGATACAAAGTGCAAAAATTATTAAAACTATCGTGAAGTGTTAGTAAAGTAACTTCATGTTCCGGAATGCATACAAGTTTTGTGTGTTTTACACCACACAAATCAAGAAATGAGACAAAAACAGTAATCAAATATAATACAGAGATCTTTGGTGTGGCAAAAAACCTCTTAAATCTTGATGAAAAACATCAATAAAGTGTTTGACGCAAAATAGATACATTCTTGACTTATACAGGGTGCGACATGACTTTTAAATTGGTGTTTTTTTTGCAAAAAGTCGATGGACTCTTGCATAAAAAACACCAAAAAAAACACTGACATAGATTGTCTCCGCAGCGTGACAAAGAAAGACGCGATAAATGACTAATGTTCTCTTCTCAGACAGACGAATTTATCAAATTTATCAATGCATTTCAACACTCACCTAGTGAAATCGCCGTTTTGCCAATTGAATCTGTAAAGTGAGAAAAAAAACACAGAGAATTAGAAAGAAGCTCTCAAAATCATTAGCGAATAGACACGCACTTCGCGAAGCACACTGGAAATTGATATTGATAATCTTGAGAGATGAGGAAAGTAGACCAAACTTATGTCTTTTCTTCACTGATAGCTCGCCAAGAATGGACTGAAACTCATCCTCATCAGCCGATCGTTGCCGAAACTTGAGGCCGTTGCAAAGGAGATTGGTAAGAAAATATCTACATTTACTTGCAGACAAAAAGTAATTAAGATAATCCCTTCGGTCGCTTTGCAGAAACCAAGCATGGCGTTGAGACAAAGGTGATCGACGTTGACTTTACGGGCGGACCCGAAATATACTCGAAAATAGAGAAGCTCATCTTCGGCCTGGAGATAGGCGTTCTCGTGAACAACGTTGGGATGAGCTACAGCAATCCTGAGTACTTCTTGGCCATCCCTGATCGTCAGAAATTTGTTGGGGATCTCGTGACATGCAATATTCTCTCCGTGACCGAAATGTGTCGACTCGTGATGCCCGGAATGGTGGAGAGGAAGCGCGGTGTGGTGATCAACATTGCCTCATTGGCGGCCAAAATCCCAAATCCACTCCTAACCGTTTATGCAGCCACCAAGGCGTTTGTGGATAAGATGTCTGAGGACTTGCAGACGGAATATCACAAGGACAAGATTGTCGTGCAGTCTGTTCTGCCCGGATTTGTTGCCACAAACATGTCCAAGATCAAGAAGCCCACCTGGTTGGCTCCGTCTGCCGAAAAGTACGTCAAGAGCGCCCTGAACAGACTCGGAATCGCCGGACACACGACAGGATACTATCCACATGCTCTGATGAAGCTGATCATTGACATGATGTCAATTATAGCTCCAGCGACAACGCAGCGCCTCATCTTGTCCCAGCTCACCAACATTCGCAAGCGTGCCATCCGCAGGAGCACCAACAAGGTGACATAATCCTCCATAAGCACCCCTTTCTGCTTCACTTCTCGACTCTCTTGCCATTAGCCTTCAGCATGGGGTTTATTTATTGGGTTTTTCGGGGCAACTCTACCTGGTGGATTACTCTTTTCAGCCTGTACCCTTTCTAATCTAACTAATATGAATTGTAACACCTCTCCGGACGGGCCAAAGATAATAATGATAATGAAGTGTAACCGACTTTTTCTGGGTGGCACCCTTTCTCGCCAGAGTTTTGGAAATAAAGTAAGCCAATGGACACCTTTTGGGCTGTAACACACGGTGAACAGGTATTTCTAACGTCAAAAACACCTCCCCGCAGAATGGAGTCTCCCGGAATCCAGTGACTGCCACAAAGTGGTGAACTAACGCTACCATTTTGTCCCAAAATACAGGAGGAGACCGTGCCCGCGGAAGATGAGGAGCCCCACGGCCAACTGGTGCTGGACATTCAACCCACCACGGTGATGTAATTTAGCGTAAGCAGACGCTCCACCGTGGCCCCAAAAGGCCGAAAAAGCCTTTTTTCACCACCATCAAAACATCAACATAACCTCAATGTCCCAGAGGCCCCAATATTTTCCCCGCACTTTTCCGCGAAATTCCCGAAAATCCCACCCACGCCCCAGTGTTCCCACCCGCCCGGGCCGCTCAACTAGCGATTGCAAGTGAAAATAAGCGTGGAATTACCTTTTTAGACACTTTTTTCTCACTTTTTCTGTTCACTTTGTCAACTCTCACCACTTCATGAAAATTCACTGTCAACGCTGACAACCCTGCCAGCCCGACTGACTCGGCGGCATTTCAGCGTGCAAACACTCGACGCAACTGGTGATTTTTCACCAATACGCAAAGGGAAAAAGCAACGGAGGAATGTTAAAAGTGCTCAAAGCATCCGTTTATGTTGATAAAGTGTAAAAAAGGATTGGGCTGTAGAACTTTGAGAATCTGTGTAAAACTGCGAAAATGCTCTAATTGTTCCCAGATTAGGTGACCATGGTATGGAATATGCAGTATTATAAATGCGTTGGCTGGTCGGGTGGCTTGCAATTTGCTGCGCATTTCACAATTAATTTCAATGCCACACAACTCGAGTTAAAAGATCTTTTACTGTTGAGAGATGTTAACTCAACAAAAATTACTTTTATAGAGACAATTACTCTAAACGACAATATAAATAAAGATAAAGAATTTTTTTAGTCCTATGATGGATCTTAAATTTCTTTTCTGGGTGATTACCAGTGGCCAAAGTTAACAGAAGCAGATGGGTATCGCATGCGTCTCTTTCCGTTATGGAAGTTAAGGGTAGTTAAATAACTTCTCTTTTATTGAAAAATTTTAATCAAATTTGAACTATTAAGAACTATTTTTATTCTATCAATTCCATCATAACAAATCAGTGATATAAAAATACCACTACTTCTCGTTATAAACTCTAAAGTTGGCAGTCAAAATTGGCTGTCGCTTGGGTGAGGCAGCAAGTCGGGTTAGCGAACGCAGCAAATCAATACGAGTTTTGCTCTCGCATTTTCATTAGTAATTTGTACGTGAAGTAGGCAAAAACACGGTTTATCGCTCTAGGCAGAAAATCTTCGCAGAGACAAAGGTGAGTTTCACAAGACAAATTTCCCAATACTTTAATCCACTTTTCCCGATTTTCCATTTTCCTGCTTGGTTCGTCTCCTTTCGAGCGCATTTTCTTGTAATCTCAGGGAGTTTTCTTTGTTGGGTCTTTCATTCTACTGATAACAAGGTCATTTTCGCAGCTCTGATAAGAGAAACCCATGAAGAATCAAATATTGCTACTTGGGTATTGTTGCGGCGCTTTTCTGTGAGTCAGCGACGAACACAAGAGAATTTCGCCCTTTGCAAATGTCTCTAAAAAAGCCGAAAACGCCTCAGACAAAAAAAAACAATCAATAAAAAATAGTTTTTATTAGCGTAAAAATCAGCTGATTCATGCTTTTGTTTGCCTTCCAATGGATTTGTGAGGTCAGTTAACCAATGAGTTTGTGTTGGATTTGATGATGAAGAAATGTTATTTTCGCTTTGTTTTGCGAGTCTCTGAAATTGGACGCAATTTGCTGAAGATTGTCGTGCAATCATGTAAAAAATGACCGCTTTTTGATAAGTTTTGCTTACTGTTTTAGCAAAATAATAATTACCATTATTGAAAATTTTCCATGGTTCTGTAGCAACTCAATAGTAGAAAGGAAACCAAGAGAATAGATTTATTCCAGTAATATAAAACTAAACTGGACGAAATCCTAACGTTTTTATATTTTATTTTGCTTACAGAAGTTACAGAATGTGGTTTTTGATGGTCTTTTGCCTGCTGGCCAGCGCCTGGGCCGATCCGGAGCATCTGTTAAGTCAGGAATTTATCGATATCACAAATGAAAAGGCGCAAACTTGGCGCGCCGGCCGCAATTTCCCGGAAGAGACTTCTTTGGCGTACCTCCGTGGATTGATGGGAGTACATCCGGACGCAGACAACTTCCGTCTGCCCCTGAAACTGCTGCACGAGGAGGATGACGACGACTTACCCGATGAGTTCGACTCTCGCGAGCAGTGGCCTAATTGTCCTACCATCAATGAGATCCGTGATCAGGGCTCTTGCGGCTCGTGCTGGGCATTTGGCGCCGTCGAGGCGATGTCCGATCGCTACTGCATCCACTCTGACGGCAAGAAGCACTTCCGCTTCTCCGCTGAGGATTTGGTGGCCTGCTGCCACACGTGCGGCTTCGGCTGCAACGGCGGCTTTCCTGGCGCCGCGTGGAGTTACTGGGTGCGCAAGGGATTGGTCAGTGGAGGTCCTTTCGGCTCCAATCAGGGCTGCCAGCCGTACGCCATCGCTCCGTGTGAGCATCACGTGAACGGCACGCGTCCATCGTGCGAAGGCGAGGGCGGAAAGACGCCCAAATGCCAGAAGAAATGCGAGGAAGGCTACAATGTGTCATACAAGGATGATAAGCACTTCGGCAAGACCTCGTACTCGGTGTCCAGGCAGGAGAAGCAGATCCGCATGGAGATCTTCAAGAACGGCCCTGTGGAGGGCGCTTTCACCGTGTACGAGGATCTGATCAACTACAAGGATGGCGTGTATCAGCACGTGCACGGCAAGGAGCTCGGCGGACACGCCATTCGCATCCTCGGCTGGGGAACAGAGAATGACACGCCGTACTGGCTGATTGCCAACTCTTGGAACACAGATTGGGGCAACAACGGATTCTTCAAGATCCTCCGCGGACATGATCATTGCGGCATCGAAGGCTCCATCTCGGCCGGCCTGCCGAAGTACTCTTAAATCTTCCCTTCAACCCGAGATTAACCTCTGAGGAAAATAGCCAACATCTTTTAGATGAAACTTTATCAATCACTACACGTTTATTTCGATTCTCACTAGAAATCCTCCTCTAAATTTCATGTTAATTTCTCTCCATTTGCTCTTCTCTTCAAATTTTGTGATAAATCTCCGCCAGTCGCATTAAAAATATATCAACTATTTCAGAAATATCTCAGCTATTTTCTTAATCCTTTACAATTCTTTTGGTGGATGTTCTTTTGAAAGGGACAAATTATTTAAAGAAAAAAAATGAGTCACTTTTCGCTGCTCAATGACAATATTACAAAATGCTCACTTACAAAATATTGCTGATTACTTCTCAAAATATTCCTTAACTTCCTGGCAAAAGTGAGTCTTTCTTCATTCACACGCAATCACGATTTTTTTTATAAATTGAACATAAACACCTTTTCAGTTTTTTTTTCTTACTTATCCTTAAATTTCTATAGAAACATCGACTTTTTCTTTAACACCTCACGCATAAATTCACATAATCATTCCATTTATCCATTCACCATTTGAGAATTACTCTCAAGAAAAGAAACCTGATAAAACGCATTCACACTTTATGCTTGAAGGAGAGGATAAAATAATATAAAAGATGAATGGTGAAATGCAATTAAATCTATAACAATTCATCAATTTATCAAAATGAATAATTTTGCTTCATCTGCCAAACTGGCCGCTCCGCAAGTTCACAAGTACACCACATTGGAGCTAATCCAGCAAAAGGAATTCTCCCCACTCACAGGAGAACACTAGGAAACGACCATGTCACTATTCGACGCTATTCCTGCGAAATTTGACGATTTCAGCAAATCATTAATATCACGTCTGAATAATGACAAGTTTTGCGTAAATCTGTAATGCAAGAGACAAGAAAATCAATTAGATAATTAAATATTGCTCATCGGATGGAAAGTGAGTTCATACAGACCTGTCGCGATTCTTCGTATGTAGATTCCTCTCAATGCCATCCATTAAATTGTCGAACCATTGAGCCATCGTTTGTTGCCTGTCGATCGGCTGATTTTGAATTATGTTGGCCTTAAGTTGTCTGGAATGAAAATAATCATGCATTAATATCGTTATATTTGGTTTTCAGAACTAAGATAAGGGAATTCAAATAAACTAAAGCGACAAAATTGAAGTTTTAATTTATAAATAAAACTTGTTCAATGGAGAAAACATTCACAGAAACTCACCTGAAGTACTCTTCATAGAGCAGAATAAGACCAAGAAGCGGCCGCGACATGGAGAATTGGTTCCTGCAGTCTTCAAAGATGATAATATTCAGCAGGATTGAGAGGATATTCTGAAGAATTTCCGGATGCAACTCCATCACCTTCAAGAATGTGTCATTCTGCGCCGCAACCTCACGACGAATCTTCTTCCCAGGGAATGTTGAGACTGCATTGAAGGACAAAGAATGCATTTACAATGTAGAAGAACTTACTTTAAACTCCTCAATTTCTTACCTTTATTTGCCAGTTGCTTAAATATATACGATACTATGTGATCCAATGTGGAGCAGCATCCGGTGCAAACCATTGTATCTGCGAAAAAGGAAATAAAAATACACACGTAAATTCACACAAGTGTTAGAAAAGTCATGAAGTAATGTTCTCCTCGGTGGAAATAGTGATTGACAGAAAAAAGAGCATAACAATGAGAAGCAGAAAAAGAGCTTTCTCCACCTGTTTAAGCCTCTTTCACTCCTTCTAGTGTATGTGTTTGTTTGTGTGTGTATTTGATTGGGAAATGCGAAAATGAAAGCAGCGGAAGAGGAGAAATTAAGTAGGAAAAAATGAATGGTATTAGAATGATGAGGAAAAACGTAAGCTAACAAATTAAGAACAGCAAGTCAGTGCAACCCTCGAAGCGGAAAAGGTCCTTTTCCTCGTCAATTTGTCACAAGTAAACTCCCAGTTTCATTGGGATTGTCTCAATTTTAAATCATCCGAAATGCACATTTACAGGATAATAATCTCTTGAGAACATTTGTATCATGCACAACAGAGCTTTTTTCAATGATTGTGATTTTGCTTTTTCTTTAACACATTTTTTCCCTCTTCTCGCTCTTTCATGGCAGTCTTTCTTTTTTTCGTAAAATGTGAGATAAAATTCAGCAAAATCTCAATTAATTGAAAGATTACAAAAAAATAATCAGAAAACGGGTCAACAGAAAATAACAGTAAAGTAATGTATGAATACATAGTTATTTGCATCTTGCTGTTGTTGCTTCGGGATTGCTATCTGACCTGTAAAATTAGAAGGAAATTTCATCGAACCTAGTGCCTTGAGCCCGTCGGCTATACTCTCGAGGATGTAAAGAAAAACACGTGGTTCTAGAGTGGCCAGGAATGTTATGTGATCCTGTGCCAAGCACTCCAGAAGAACGTAGTACGATTGACTCAGCTTCGGGTACTCCTGCAAGAGAATCACGAGAGAGAGAGAGAGAGAGAAAGGACATTGAGAAAAGTCCCACAATTTTTAAGGATGGCAGCTGAAAAGCCTCACCAAGAGATGATTGTGTGGTATCGACAGAATCATCTCCACAGTCGTGTTGAGAACATTGTCCAGAGTATCATCGCCATAGAGCTTGAAGATACCAAAATTGACATAATTGCCGCAGAGAATGGACTTCAGCATGAGGAAACACACTGACATTCCCTTCAAACGCATCTGATACTCCTGATTCTTGTGCACCTCCAGCGTCAGCACGCGACTTCCTGTAAGGATCAACCGGCAAAATCAGTTATTCTTGTCGCCCCAGAAATGCATTCATATCAGAAAACATATCCAGTCACAAGTTTAACTCACCATAAGTGCAGATAACTTTTGATGCTTCCCTGAACAGCAACACACCATTTGGACTAGAAACATCAAAATGCAGCCTTTGTGAGCGATTGTGCACGAATTCAGCGAAAAGCTTCAAGATGGGCGTCGTGACGGTGGGATCGTGGCCCCACAGCTCGATGGCGCGAATAAGAATGGGCGTGTAGTCTGGATATATCCACTCGAAGAACATCATGTACGCCGCCTTCGTGCCTAGAACACACGCCAAGCCGCGCAGATCGCGCGACAGGCCGATGAGCGCCTTCTTTGCCTCGTCCGACGGATAGCCATTGTTCACGTCCATCAGCATGGCACCGATGGACTCAAATTGATTCGTCATCGGCAGCATGAATGTGTAGAATCGCTCCTCATCGTCGCCAAAGTCCACCATCAGAAGTCGGCCGAGTGACGAGTAAAACATACTTCGCATCCTCATTTCCGAGACATCGCAATTCGTGCCCAGGAATTGGAAGTGTTCACTCTGCAAAAGACACGCGCAAATAAGAAATGGAGATCTGAGGATAAGATGTAAATTAACTCACCGTGTGATTGTTGAGCATGAACTGAATCTCATCGAGCTTCACCAACTTCCTCACGCAACTGTAACTCGACGATAGATCATTGAGAAGATTAAGCGTCTTGCGGATGATCTGCTCAGATTCACCCCAATACTTGAGGTTCTTGATGATCTTCCTGTTGATGACACTGAGCAGCATGGGCTCATCATTGAGGCCCAGCACTTCCGACAGACGCTTGTACACTTTGTGCATCTGCTCACTGATGTATGTCTTTCGCACTTGCTCCAGGAAGCTCATGATGGCCAACTCCAGCTTCACACAGCCCGCTTGAGGCAGACGCGAGTCTGTGAGATTCATCAGCTGCAGCACGCGGAAGATCAGCTCTCCGTCCATCACATCATGCTCGTCATTGACGGAGAAACTCACGCGGGCGCCAATCACGGAGCCTATGATGTACACTAGCCACGTCAGCTGGCCCTCCTGGATGGTCACATCGATCTTGTTTGGCTCCGGAACTGAGAGAAGTTGCTGATACGCGTTGGCAGTCTGATCGAAGAGCTGGACGAGGAGGGCGCAGGTTTTCTCGTACTCGCACCTCTCAATGACGGAGAGTTGCTCCAATTGCTGCTGCACCATGCCCTGGTCATCCAGGAGATCCTCCTGGCCCGTACGCACGATCACAGCCACCGACTCGAGACGCGACGTGATGTATGCCTTGGTGATCTCGGGCGTGTAGGTGCCCAGCAAATGGGGCTCTGTGGACTTTACGAACGGCACGGAGGCTACCATCTTCTGCCAGAGTGAGAGCAAATAGTGGACGCTGTTGGGTGCAAACTGCCACATTTGCAGCGATTGGATGGTGAATTTGGCAATTAGCTGGATCGCCTCCGGGTAGCAGTCCACCGTGACGAGTTCTCCCAGCTGATAGTTGGACTTGAGGCGCGCCAAGAGCCGACAGAACTCATGATAGTTCTCCGGATCACTGAAGCCCTTCGAGTTCTCCAGAATGTTCTTCACGCCACGCACGAGGGCGGACAGGAACTTGGCCCTCTCCGCATTGCTGAAGAGCGACCTTCGCACAGACGTAATCTGCACGAGGCACGCCAGTGCCAGACTAGACAAGCTATTCGGTAGGATGTCATAGAGATCGAAGAAGAGATTTAACGTGTTCAAGTCGAGGAAAACCGGCCGCCAGCTCGTGGGAATCTGTATGGTGGACAATTCATCCGTCGATTCGTCCGTCGACGTACCGATAAAGTCAAAGCTCAGGCAATTCTTCGCCAGCCGCAACACCTGAGTCATCAATCCATTCTGGGCGTCATCCATGAAATTCAAATTCTTGTTATTCTCACGCGCAGAGCCCAGGAGTGAGCACGACAGCAGAAATATATCGTACAATTGCGTATCCCGAAAGCTGCAGGCAATCTTTCGGTGCTTCGTGAATGTGAGATTTGCATCCACCTCCACCATTGGATTCATCTCACTTGTGAGCTGTGAGAGAATCTGCACGCCAATCATGCAGTGCTCCACGGATCCCTGCAGAAAACTCCGCACATCCTCAACAATGTTCCGGAACACGAGCTCGTTCTTGTACAAGTCAAACCAACTGTATTTGGTGATCTTCGCAAGCAGTGTGACGAGCGCCTGTATCACGAAGTTCTGCAGATTTGGCCGGTTGAGGAAGTACGTGAGCACGTAGTTCCGGATGTCAATGCGCTGCATCAGGCTCAGGCCTTGAATGTTGCGCGACACGAGCTTGGTGAGCGTCGTGGCGGCCAGGAGTTGTGAGTAGCTGGAGTCAGCTCGGTCCAGGAGCAGTTGACACTGTGTCAGCGCATCCGGGCTGTCCTGGAATGCAACCAGAGCCTTCTCGGCCTCAGCGCGTCTTGCATGGTCCGTGGACTCATACATCTCCTTGCAAACGAGTTCTAGTTGATGGATTTCCTGAAAACACACAACACAATGCATCAGGTCAGCCCTCGGTACTTTTCCACTCGACACGAAGGGCCAAATTTCGCTCTGCGCGCCTCCAGGACAAGATCAGAGCGTGTGCGAAAAAGGGCAGCCCCAAAATGGAGCCGGAATTCAAGGGCCAAAAAGCGAGCTGGCTTGTCACACTTTTCCTGCTCCAAACACTCCCCCAAGATCAATCACACCTCATGCCGGCACGCGATGGACTTGAGTGCGCCCCCGCGGGGCGGAGAGCGCGGCGAAATGCCGCGTTTTCCGCCGCTGGGGAAAACAACAAACACGCACTTTGGAATTTTCACCCATTGCCCAGAGCGATCGCCCCAACGAAAATCTACCCCAGCCAGATAATTACCATCTTTTCTGCCTCATTTACTATTCACCAATTCTCTATAAATTGTTGCGAATGCGAGATTATCCGCCTCGGCTAAGCTCTCATGGAAAAACTATGAAAATGTATTATTTTTCCTCGAGCTGCGACACAAGAAGACAAAATAAACCACACTGATCGCAGCGCCCATTACGCCCCTCGCGGAAAATCGCGGCCCGCACTTGACAGCGGTCCACGAAATTTTTTGTTTATACGTGGACGTGTTGATTGTGTGATAAGAGTTATTGCGTGAAAAACACGGGAAAAGGCACAATGGATCACAAAAGGGTGACGAAAGGGAGTGGCGAGATGCCAAGCAAGTCTTATAAGCGGATCATAGCCATTTGTCTGATTGTGATTGCGCTGTTCTTCACGCTGCCAACTCTGTGCGGAGCACATGGACACGATGGACACAGTCACGAGGCGCCCAGCTTTAAGTATTCCCGGGAGGCCAATGAGCCTCACGATCATCAACATCACCACGACCATGGCAGCGCCCATGGCAAAGTACCTCAAGCGGCAGGTGAGTTTTTGCATCTCGAGTTTCCGGGAAGCTTTTGAAATTTGGCTGTTGAGCACACTGTAAAAAACAGAGTTGCTTCTAATTAACCAATTCGATTCACGCTTGATTTATCATCTATTCTCTTATCAAATATTGTACAGGCGTGTGATTTTTATGACCAATACTTTTCCAGATTTTCTATGCCTCATTAGCCTTATAGAGATTTGTTGGTGCGCCTGAGATGTGCCTATTGGAGGATAAATTGACCAGAATTTCTGTTTTTGCTCTTACAGGAGACTCAATGGACGTGTGGATTCACTCGTTGTCTTCTACTCTGCTCATTAGCGCAGCGCCCTTCCTAATACTGTACTTCATTCCTCTGGACAACACAGAAGCCATGCAGCCGCGCCTCAAGATGCTGCTGGCCTTCGCCTCGGGCGGTCTGCTGGGGGACGCTTTCCTGCATCTCATTCCACACGCTACTGGAGGACACCACCATGATCATCACGACCACCATGATCACCACGACCACCACGGTCACAGTCACGATGGAGCGGGTCACAGCCACGACATGAGTGTGGGTCTCTGGGTCCTGGCGGGCATCATCGTGTTTCTGGCTGTTGAGAAGGCAGTGCGGCTAATGCGTGGCGATCACGGACACAGTCACGGAGAGCCGCCAAAGGAGAAGGAGAAGTTGGTGAAGAAGGACGAAAAGAAGGGCAAGGGAAAGAAGGCGGAGAAGGCGAAAAAAGAAGACATCCAGATTGCTGGCTATCTCAACTTGGCCGCAGACTTCACGCACAACTTCACTGACGGACTGGCGATTGGGGCTTCATACTTGGCAGGCAGCGGCATTGGCATCGTGACCACCATCACAATTCTCCTTCACGAGGTGCCGCACGAGATCGGAGACTTTGCCATTCTAGTCAAGAGTGGTTGTTCGAAGAAGCGCGCCATGATGCTCCAGCTGGTCACCGCCTTGGGCGCCATCACGGGAAATGTCCTGGCGTTGCTGGGCAGTGGCAGTGGAGACGCCGCGGCCTCCTGGGTGCTGCCCTTCACGGCCGGCGGTTTCATCTACATCGCCACAGTGAGCGTCATTCCGGAGCTGCTCGAAGGGAGCACAAAACTAGGTCAATCACTGCGCGAAATCTCTGCTCTTCTGGCGGGAGTGTTCCTCATGGTGCTCATAGCGAACTTCGAGTGAAGTGAACCTCATTTTCCGGAATATTAGCTGGTAATAATAAAGTCCCACTTACACGAATATCTCATCTAATTTATTTCTCTCTTCTCTCGTTACAATATCGTAAATTCTTGGGAGTAAACCAAATGAAGAGCAAAGACAGAAGAGGAGGAAACAAGAGAGCATTAATGATAAATGAGGAAAATGGTTTTGGGCTTTGCATTGTGGACGAATGTATGGAAGGGAAAATGGGATGTTTTTTTGTGTTTCCTTTGCTCCTCGATGGAAATTCAACTAAATTCTATGGCATTGAGTGGAATTATCTGATTCGAAATATCTTCTACTTAAAAACAAACAACGAGATCAATTCATCAGTTCACCTGAAAGAAAAATAGACAATACGATAACAAGTCAATCGACGATTCAGTGGAGAATATTGTGCAAAAATCCTTTGGCAATTTGCCAAGTTATTGCTATACTCTCTCTCTCTCTCTCTCTCTTTCGCTTCTTACAAATTCAGACAAATATTGTTCTCCCCGTGAAAATTTATGCTCTCCACTCTCAATAACAAACAGTGTCAACAACACGGGAAATTCGGGCATTTCTCTCCCTTTTCTATTGACAATTTGTCCATATGTAAAATCAATAGAATATTCTTTTGAATCTTTTATTCAACACCAAAAATTAAGAATCATTTCTAAAGATATTCCACAATCTAGGCGGATTTCAATCAAATTAGGTCACTTGAGAGAGAAATTGATTTTTAATTCACTTTAATTGGGACAACCGTCAATAATAGTTTGTCTTTATCAAGTGGCGCAATTTCACATTTTATACAATAGTTTTCGATTTCGTTGGGCTTTAAGATGTGGCTCTCTTCAATTTCCTTGTTCAAATATGATTTTTCCAGATTATTGAGTGTAAGGAGCAAAATTTCCCAGGCATGAGATAAATTGATACTCACATAATGAGATTTTTCACCTCTTCCTGACCAGATAGGATAGAGAATACATGAGTAGTAACATCGATTGGAGGATTTAACCATCAGAGAGAGCAGGTGTGACCCAACCGTACTTCTCGTGCGTCTTCACGAGGCTCCTGAACGCCTCTTCAGCCGTCCTCCTACAGCGCAAAGCGAAATATCCCTCTGTATTTATCCTTCTCTCACAGTGTGTTTCAACAGACTTACTTGCTGAACTCCTTGGAACTCTTTGATTTCCTCGAGATCCTCCCTTGTCCCTTGACCAGGCTCGCGGCAAACTGCATCAGCACGGCCTCCACCGTGTAGGCGCTCGCCCAGCCGCGCGGCGTGAGCAGCTCCATACAAATTGCGCCGCCCTCCATCACGAAGCCCTTCTCGATGCGCGGCTCCACCACTCGCATGAACGGTGGCGCGAAGGGGAAGTTCTCAGGGAAGACAAGATGCAGCAGAATGTGGGGCACTCCGAGCTCAGCCATATCCTCAGCCAAGCCACTGTCCGGATCCACATGATGGAGTCTCACGTGCCACTCAAACAGATTGTCATTCACGAGATCCACCGTGAAGACGGGCTCTGGCCTCGCGCTTTGTCTCTGGATCTCGCGATACTCCTTCATGAGGCGTCGTGCCCGGATTGTCATGTCTATTGCTTTGGGAATCTGTGTCGCACTCGTAGCTGGACTCGGAGAAACTCCCCTGCAAACAGAGAAATGAAAGAAAAAGATATTAAATCGCTCTGCCTAAAGCAGTTAATGAAAAATTCCTGGAAAATTCGTCATAACATTAAATAACAGAACTCATCTTCCCACATAAAAATTCTCCAGAATATTGTACTTGCTTCAGGTAAAATCTCAAATAAACGTTTAATGTTTCAAAACATTTACTGCTTGATTTTACGACAATATTCAAAGCAGACGACAGACCGCAAAAACTATTGTGTTCACTTTTAATCTGTTTTTTTTATGCAAAACTCAAATAATACCCAGAATCACTCGAAATTTGCCTGAAACACAATAAATTGATAGAAAAATACAATAAGAGAAAAAGCTGTTGAATATTTCGCGGAATTTTTAAAAATATTCTCTATTCTACAATACATACAGAATATTTCACTCTAATCAAAACTGAGACAATGTCGAAGCAGAGATGCGCCCACACCAAAGGCGATTTGAGAACTTATGGAAAATATTTACTCATGAAGAAAAACTTTGAGGATTCCTCAGCGCTTCTAATTGGGGAATACATAACACGCGCGCTTTCCTCAAGATTTTCTGCTACATCATTCGCTCACCCTCTTAGCCGTCACGCAAAAAAAGACGAGGAGTCACGGCGTAAAACCACCAGAAGAAACATCAAATGGCGCCACGAAAAATAGGCACATGATACACACACAAGTAATCGTCTGGGAGGCTTTCGTTCCAAACAACCCAAGGCTTCATGCAATTTCCCACCCCATTTTGGACCACTTGCGCCATCCCTGGAATTTAATAGTAAACTTGGGTGGATAAATAAATAAATCCTCATTCTTTAGCCACTTGTCTCACAAGCTCTAAATAGACTAACTCGAGCGTGAAAAACTACCCTGGCAGTTGTTGTGCGAGAAGCACAAAAGGCGCGTCGTGATGTTCATTTGAAAACAAACAACATGTCTCTCCATAATCCATTATTCTATGTTTTCTGCACATATTAATTGATGACAGTCTGTAGGAAAATTCTCAGTCACGCCCTGCGGAGTAGGGTATTATTCATAATGTAGTCATAAGGAAGATAGAGGACATTGAGGTGCAGAAAGCACCACATCGGAAATCTCAAGTGAAACTTATCACACTATAGAAGAGGCATGAAAACCACAAATATGCAAATCAAAATCTATTTCTCGCTCTCTATTCGCTAATGAGAAATAGTCTGAAAGCTGTGAGTTAAATTGTCACTCACCGTCTGAGGCGTCTCCCTGGACTTCCTGAAGGTCCAGCATTTGTGCTGGCCTCATTATTGGCATCGTGCTTCTTATCAGGACTCTTGAAGAACTTGCGAATCGCTGATGTGACTTTCTCCTTCGATCGAGCTGCCGCAGACATTGTGGCTGTTCTTCTGTTGCCTCAAAAGCTAATCTCTTTTCTCGTCTTTTCGCGCAATGGGGAGAGAAAAGTCGTCTATTTATCTAGCTGGCGAATATCCTTTTCACTCTGTCTCTCTGGAAGTCAATTTATCAGGCCTTTCTATGGGCGGGTCTGCAAGGCAAAGAAAAGAAGAGAATAAACATGAGAACAAGTGAGAAATAATTCATCAGAATAATAGAATATCCTACAACATCAATTAAATACAACTCCCTCTCATCTTATCTTCACTTCTGTGTCTCACGCGGAAGAAAGAAGCAATCCGCCCACCTTAGACACCTTCGCAGAAGCGCATTGCAGATTTACGTGACTTACAAGGTAACAGGTAATAAAGAAAAAGCGCGTCATTTCACTTTTCCCGCTGTATTTCTGCTTCACGCTTGAAAGAAAAATTGATAAAATAGGAAAATATTTTCCCTTAATCGTGCGCCCTGTGAATTTCCCATGGAAATTTATTGCGACGAGGAAATCTCGAAGGACACAAAGAGAATAAATTAAATTCAATCTCTTGTCTATAATTTTCCCTCAAGATGAATAATGCTCCGCCAGTGGAAAATCATCATCATCATCATCATCCTTTATACCAAATCTCCTCTGTCTCATCCTTCACCTTTTCCATACACTTTCATCGTCATACATATTATGTACGCAAGAGCGAAATATCAATTGCAAAATAACACACATAGAAAGAGAGTGACATTGTTAAGAATTGTGATTTCTTGGAAATTCTTCGTTACACAATCAAAAAAGGAATAATATCGTCTAATCTCTGATGAAATGATATACAGAAAAATATTTACATTCCATGTCTATACAAACAGAAATTGTATGGGAATTTCCAGGATAGCCTCTTCAAATCAATGATAAATTGGCAATTTCTCCTAAATGTGAATTTATCGAGAATTCAATCACTCTTCAGATAATAATTTGCATGAAAATCGGTAATATTCGTATCATGAGGTGAAAAGTATTGATAATGGATTGAGAAACTTAATTATGATATTGTATAATCAAACGATTCAATTAAACACCTGATCAATTACACTCTAATTGTCTACCCACATATCTAAATTCAACATAATTACTTCACGCTCCACCTAAATAAATTTTCTGGATACAATTAACAATTTAGTTAGACATATCAAAGCCGAATGCAACTCCTTTGATTACGATCCTCCATTCCCACAGCGACTGCATTTCACACAGGAAAAACCTCATGAGACTTTCATTTCTATTCAAAGGAAATCCTTAAAGTCACATATCCAACATCAACTTTAAATGGCAAACTTGTAGAGCGCAAACTTCCTTTTTTCCCCATCAAAGTCTCTGCTCTCTCTCACAATGTGAGAATTGTTGAGAAATTTCTGCCACACGCATCATTCTCGAGTAAGAGATAATTTTCCACCCTTTCACACAAGTAACTTTGCCATACACCCACTCCAAATAAGAGTCAGACACATGACATAAGATAAGATTTCATCTTAATTTTTATTGTACATTCGCATCCCTTTTGTAGTATGACGGCAGTACGAATTTTCCAGAGTTAATTCATCATACATATTCACCAATTTATCTGACAATGCATGACGTATATTAGAAATATATTTGAGACTTTTATTAACCATACATGGGACATAATTCTCATATTAAATACGAAAATATCCAAAGAAATTTAAGTTTAATTCACACAGATTTTTCACTGATTCGACTTCATTTGTTCTCTCATTTCCTAAAATAGTAATTTTGGACGCATCGGAAGAAGAATGTGATATTTTGCATTTTTTTTCCAACTTGTCAGAAATAAATTCAGAGAGAATTTTACCAAATGCGCCATTGCATACTTTATCTATTCTTTAGGAAAACCTTCATCAAAATAAAACTTCTCGAACAACACTTTAGGAAAAGAAAACTCTGTAGTTATTTTCCTTCTTTAAAACACGAGACGATAGTTAAAATAGAATCCTCTCGATCTATAAATTTCCCTCGAATCCATATCACTTCAGTCACACAATAAAAAATTCATCAGACACGACATTTAAAGAGAGTCCACAACACAATAGAATGCGTGTTATATAAAGATAAGCCATAACATATAAATTCAATGGAAATTTTACAAGCATGACCCTGCACGCTAATTTCATATTTCATCAATTGATTTCAATCGAGAGGGTGTGTTTTGTATGTATAACTCTTCACTTCCATCATATTCATCTCATCATGAACTTGAGGATTGAGAATTCAAGATCATCTTGAGAGCTTTTCCACTGAATTCCACCCGAATCCAGATGGATTGTTGTCAACTATTTCCCAGCAACCACCCTCGCATTGTAATGGAATCATATCTGAGAGCACCTGACATGGAATATTGAATAGAGAGCGGAAGGTGGATGTCTATCAATTGACTGGCATGATTGGAATTGTCTCTCGAGTGCCTGAAAATACTTCAAAATTGGCAAATTCTAATGTATCGATCAATCAGATATATTGCCAACTTTCAAATTAACGAGCTCTTGCCAAACTCTCTCGGTTTTTCCACCCTGATTTTGACACCCACAAACATTGCATATGCAATTTCCAATAAAGAGGGTGGAAAATCGATGAGAAATTTATGCAAGAGAACATTCTACAACAACGGCAAAACAAACGAGAAAACAATTGTTAAGCCACAGAATTCAATCAATATATGGGAATTATTAAATGAGAATAGCAAACAACATCGTCCAGGCAATAATGAAACTTATTTATCGTTTAATGGGCTGTCCAATGAGACCATTCTCGTCCATTCAGCAAAATGCCCTGCAAGAACACCCATCTATTAATAGAATGATATAGAGAAGACTTCAATTTAAATTCATTTAGAGCTCACAACTCTCAACACTGACATTGTTCTTGCTCTGCAATGGACAATTCTGAGGAGTTGGAAAAAAAATTAATCATAAGACAATGTCATGAAGAGAGACAGAGGAATTTTCCACTGAAAGAAAATTCAATTTTCTCCAATTTAACTGCGTCAAAAGACAATAATACCCGCACTGCAAGTGCAAATATTCATGTTTTCAGCAAACATCGCATAGAACATTCATTTTTAATTTTTTTTCTATCCAACTCACTGTCATTGTGTTAGGTAAATAAATTTCATACAATTACTCAGCTGTGATTTCATTTCTTCACCCCTTGGCTCACATTTTGTGCCCAGATAAACAGAGCTGAATGATTTTTTTTTTCGTCAAAATATATTTCGCATCATCAACAGAAATAATTCAGCGTGAAGCATAATATTGCAGCGGCATTTCACAACGCGACGAATGAATTATTATAGCTAATAAAAATGCTGCAAAAGTGCGAGGCTTTAATAATAAATTAGCCCAATGGAAGGGATGATAAAGTGGGTGCTTGACAATGGGACGCTTAATTCGGGACACTAAAAAGTTTTCAGGAAGGAAATTTGCCCCCATTCAAAATCTCTCAAGGAGCAAGGTTAAAGTTTGTGCAATTATCAGGAGACTTTTGGATTATTCAGAACAATTAAGACGTTATTATTACTGAAGTAGTTTCAGAGAGGTTTCTGTCATTTCCTTGGAGATATTAGAATATTTTTACAAGCAGTTTAAGAGCGATTAAGCATTTGGGATCAAAGGAATACTTTGTAAAAATTATCAAGAAGTCTGACATTTTCTGGAAATAGCAGATTCTAAGACCACATAAATATAGAAATATGAGATAACATGAATATTTCATGGACGAATCCACCTCATTCGACCCTTATGGGTTAACAAACACTCAATAAACCCTTGAATTAGACCCTTGAATTGAAAGAGAAATTGAATAAAATTCACATCATTTTACAGAAACATGATATTATTTCCCCCATTCAAACACGTGACGAAAAAAATACTTAAAATCCCATTTAAAATGACAGAAATCTCTTAATAGAAATTCCACTTTCAACCCCACAAAATACGGCAATTTTTTCTCTTGAAAAGAGCACGTGTTATTTTATACAGGTTGTGTTTTTTTCTCTTATTCTCCCTTCGCTCTTGTGCCTAGAAGAGCCACTGAATGCCAAAAAAATACGACAAGGGTGAATATATTCTGTGTGTTATAGATAGAGAAAGAGAATGTTAATATAAAAAGGAAAGGTGCACATTTAATTCGCCCTCTCTTAAGAGTATATTTTCTCCACCACGGGATACAATATCCACTTTCGTTCACCACCACTAAAAGGTAAAATTGAGAGGGAGAGAGAGAGAGAGGCAAAAAGAAAAACAGTAGATTAAGGGAGGAAAACTCAACTGGACACCGCTTTAAGTGAGCACCAGGTGAGATTAATTCAATAATTTGCCAATGGCGAGTATCAGGAGAATGGTGAAGAGGAATTTTCTCTCTTTTCCACCATTCGTTGCCTCAAAAAGAACATAAATTTCCAATTCTCAAACAAATTCTCTTTTCCCACACCCACAAAATGTGGCATATTTCCCCCCTCGTTTATATGCATGTGTGTGGCTTTTTAGCAAACATTAATTCGTCAGGGGATAAAATTTATTTCCACCCTCAATTCAAGGCGAATGAGGGTGGAAAAAGTTCCGCAGCAACAAAAATGGGGAAATAATCAAATAAAAACAACATAAAGTAAATTTTTCACATATGTTTTCAGTATATCATTAATTTCAAATACACTCTCGGGATTGTTTTTTTTGTTGTTGTTTGTTTCAGAGAAGCATAGAAAGCTGCAGTGTTACAACTTTCGTATAACGAAATTCCTCCCAAAAATTTCATGATCTCCATTTCACTATAAATGAATATGTTATCCAATGTAAGTATATCATTATTAAATACAGTGCCTAAAGTACGCAAAAGCATGTGCTTTTGTAGGGTGAGAAGAGGCTTTGATGACATCAATAAATCATACTTTCAGTTTGTCTCTCATGTCGACGAAACTCTTGCAAACTTCATATAAAACACAAAATTGATAGTTTGTCGTTGGCAATCAAAGCCGCCCTTTTTCTCCGCCAGAATTTTCCTCTCGCTTTGCCTTGACGATGGAGAAAAGTGGGCGTTTTGGCCAAAAACGACGAAAACTGAGAGAGAGATTTCATTTCATCTTCTCACTCTTTGCCAGGCTCGTTGGTATAAATATTAATGAAGTGCTTGGTGATGCGTTCCAGAATTAGTTTTCAACTTTTTTCCCTCTCGTATTTCTCAGCCGCTGCCACTGAATGTCTTCAATTTTCCCAGGAAAGAGCGAGGGTGTGAATCTCTTCCGCTGTCACTTGAGAATTTAGATTAGTGTGCAAGAGCAAATTCTCCAACTGACACAGGAACAAGTTTGTCGAAAAGAGAGGTCAGAAATTGTATCGAATTTTAGATAGACATCAAGATTATCTGAGAATGTGTGTTGAAGATATTGAAATACGTTTTAAGTGAATTTATTCATCCCAAAAAGCTCCGCGCTCTTCCATGGCATACTAAGAATCTGATATAAAGCTATTTAGAGCAACTTGTGAAATGAAAATTCATTGTTATCTCCATTGAGATAACAACGATAACAATGATAGTTGTGTCACTTTTGAGAAATTGAATTGCAAAATTACTCTAAAATTCTTCTGACGCATAGAAATTCAGCACAACAGTTTCTCTTTTCAGAACGAGTCCCTCAACTTTCTGTCTCCTTTATTTTATGTGCACTTCGAGACTGTGATAGAAATGAAAAGCACATCACATTGGCTTGATGTAATTTCCAGTCTATAAATTTTTGGGAATCTCTCTGCGACCATACAATTGAGACACTTTTGCTCCACATTGGCCTCTCTTGGCCATCAGACTTGACCACGAGAGACAGAAAAGCACTTCCATTTGGCTTTTAGTGCATCGTTTTAGTGCCAATTTTCCAAGGATTGGGCTTTATCTCTCACTGACCCGGGCTCATGAGAGAATTTGACGCGGAGGAGCGCAAGAGAGACGCAATTTGGGACTTTGCCTTCCCATGAGGGATCATTTGCGATGTGTGGCATTTCTCGCTAATTTCCCCACATTGTTGATTGGCGATGTGAGAAGAGAGAGAATGGCGTGATAAGAAGAAAAGAAGACACTCTGTTTAGGGGTGGAGATGAGCTAAAAATAGCCTGTATCGCCAGAGGGATGAAGTCTCCACCCACTGGATTTCTGTCAGGAAAATTGGTGTTTTTCCACTGAGATATGCGAATTTGGAGGATGAATTTAGTCAAATCATCCCAAAGAGCAGCCTCTGAGCACAAAGAAGTGCTCAAATTGAATCATTCGCCAACCGGAGGTGAAATCTTTACACTTTGTCGCCCCCATTTAGTCGCCTTTTCCCCTGGGAAAACTGGGAAAGTGCCACACATTTCCTTTGCCCAGACAGAGTAAGCAAGAAATTTGACACAATAAGCACAAAATACTGGACTTGATGACTCACACAAGTTTACTTGAACTCCACTTGAACACTTCTCCTGGCCAAATGCAATTCCACGCTGTTGACACGACCAGAGACACCAAAAAACTAAAAATCGAGAGTTTCTCGCTCGTGTTGATGCCCCATCGAGCTGTACGCGAAAACAGGCACACCATGCGATTCTGCATGAGCGAAAGAGAGGGCAAGGAAAATCAATAGGAAATCCAGAAAACCCTCGACTCTTTTTTTGCCAATTGTAACAAGGATTTTTGGAAGTTTCTCATCACATTGTAGTAAGAAAAGGAAGAAAACTGATCGCTTCCTACAGTAAAATTGGTAAAACTCCAGATTAGTTTCTAATTAGGTGAAAAAGGCATCCCAACTGGGCGAGAAAGAGATGCCCTGACAGTGTCTCTAGTACAGACAGCAGCCAAATCACTTCTGGTGAAAGTGAAGACACCTGGTCAGGGCGCTTAAGGCTTTCCCCAGGCTCCTGGAAATGTCCCCCTGAACACTGTTATCGAGATCGCCTCATTTCGCGCATATCTCTTCCAGCAGCTTTCGCAGCTGTCAATTAAGACGCAGTGTCTTTGTTTCTATAATTAACACGGCGATTTATTGCTGTTTTGCATCGCTTTTCTGTTTTTTGCACCAAAAATAGAATTGCACAGCAGAACCCGCAAGAATTAGGTTATGTTATACCGACCTTTGGATTCTTCTTCCTATACCCTGTAATTCTTCTATCACCTTTAATCTCACGCTTTTATTATGTATTGCGACATCATAGAGACAAATTCTCCGTTAGAACACGTGAAAATAATGCATTTTCTCAGAGAGAAAAACCGCTGAACAAAATCACGAAAAAACTTCCACTAAATGATTTCAGCGCCACTCTGTGGAATTACTGTGAAAGTGTTCACGGCGTCGCCTGGTTGACACTTTGTTGTGTGAATTTGGGAATTTTATTTGGTATTTTACATGTTAACTAGTTTCTGTGTGTTACGGTGAATTAGGTGTGTTGTCAAGATGTCTGCAATGTACACGCAACAGCAGCAGCAGCCTCCGCCACCGCAGAGAGGCCCACCGGGCGCCCCGAACCGCGTGGTGCAGCCGCAGCCGCCAAGCACGGCGGCCATTCAGAAGATTCTTGATGAAAATTGCAGCCTCATCCAGAGTATTCAGGCGTGCCAGAACGAGGGAAAGCACCAGGAGTGCATGTCCTATCAGCAGGTGTTACACAGGAATCTCGTGTACCTCGCCAATTTGGCGGATTCTACTCAGAATATACCTCAGATTCTTCCGGTAATTTTCCATCGGTGTTTCACATAGGTCTCGAGAATTCATAGATTTGTCGTTTTTTCAGCCACCGCACATCTTACAGTCTCTTCCACCTGGTCCGGGAATGCATCCAGTGCCACCAGCAAATGCACCACCTTCAATTGGTGGCCCTATTCCAGCTCCCGGACATGCAGTTGAAGCCAATCAGCCGCCGAGTCAGCCAGGGCCGAATTACAGCGCAGCTCCACCACCTGGAGCGCAAATTCCGCCTCCTGGGCCACAGCCGCAGGCTCAGCAAGGACAGCAGGTGCAGCAGCAAGGGCATCATCCGCCAGCGCCCCCGAGTGGAGCTCAACAGGCGCCTCAACAGCAGCAGAATGCTCAAGCGCAGCAGCCGCCACCCCAGCAGCCTCCAACGACTCAACAGCAGACTCGCCCGGGTGCTCCTCCGCAACCCCAGGCGCAAACTCAGCCCCAGGGTCAGACGCAGCAGCCACAGCAGCAGCCGCCGCCCCCACAAGCGTATCCACGAGCTGGAGCATATCAGCAGCACGCGCATTATCCTGGATATCCGCCTCAAGGGCAACCCTATCCTGCCCAGGGCTATCCTGGACCCATGTCCTACGCTCCGCCTGGGCAGAACTATCCACCCAACACGGGAGCGCCGGGAGGATATCATCACGGCGCCATGCCGCCAACTGTCACCTCCGCCGGGGCTCCTCCGCCAGTGAGCGCCTATCACAGCACTTCTCAGCACCAGGCGGGCCCTGGAGGTTACCCTCCGCCGCCCAATAGTCAGCCGTCTGGGCAGCAGCAGCCCCTGTATGGGCCTCCTGTGTCGCAGGCACCTCCTGGCCAGTATCCTCCGCCCGCGTCCAGCGGTCCGCCGCCCCCGATGGGCGCCTACTCAGGCTATGGGGCTCAGAGCCCGAGTGCGAACTCCTACGGACAGCCTGGTGCCCCGGCTCAGGGCGCCTATCCGCCGGCGCCGGGACAGCAGAGCTATCCTCCTCAGCAGCAGTACCAGCCGCCAGCGGGATATCCGGCGCCTCAGCCACCCATGGGCCATCCTCAGGCCGCGACCGCGAACCAAGGACCTCCGCCGCAATCCGCTGCACCGCCGTCAGGAGCCCCGCCGGCTCCTGGCGCGAACTATACCAACCAGCCGAGTCCTGGTCAAACGCCCTCGCCGAACTCTAACGGAGCCGCTCCGCCGACGACTCATCCAGGCCCCATCGCGGCGCCACCGAGTCAGCAGACGTACCCGCCGCCGCCAGTGTCGGGAACGCCACCCAATCAGCCCTACTCGTCGCCTCCTTCTTCCGTGCCGCAGACAACATACTCCCAGGCACCGCCTAGCACTTCATCTTCACCGGCGCCGACGGGGGCTTACCAGCCGCCTGTATCGCAGCCCTACGCGCCCCCGCCGGGCGCTCAGCCCTATGCTGGGCCCACCGGCGCTCCGGGTCAATATCCGCCACACGGATATCACCAACAGGCTTATCCGCCAACACCCATGCCGCAAGGACAGTACCCAGGACCCCAGGGGTACCAGTACCAACGTCCGGCGGGTCAGATGCCACCGCCTGGGCCCCAGGGCGCCTACGGATACGGCTACCAACCGCCACAATAAATCCCGAACAGTATTGCTTGCGGAGCAGGTATGTCAAACATTAAGATCTTAAGCCAAGCCACAAAGTATGAAAACTAATTGGTGGGATAAACGCATTCGATTTCTGTTGAAATTTAGTGCTTTAACAACACAGAAATAAACTAATTCATAACTTTGTCCATATCTTTATTCTCTTCGCAGCTTGATTGCAGAGGAACTTGAATTCAACTCTCTCGCTATGGACTTGATTGTGCAGAGATGTTTTCGCCACGGAGAGTCTCTCCAGTGTATCTCAATTATACAATAACTGTACTGTAGATTGTAATAATGTATCTCAATGTGCTCAAGCGAGCTTTTATTCACTCTTCTCATGACTTTGGCTATCAGTCTCCTGTTGCCCTTTCGCCTTGGCGGCGAACCCCAGCTTTTGGCGCAGCGTGGCCAGGAGGCTCTTGGGTGCTTCTTTGGGTAAGATTACGATCCTCTTGGTGGACATGTTGTGGATGGGGCCAAAAGCCAGAGCCACAACAGTGCAGGCCAGGCAAATGACGTTATATGGCATACTGAAGTCGGGGGTGGGCAGCGTCAGAAGGAGGGATTCAGTGCGGATCTGGACGTAGTAGCCGGGCCGCGAGGCGTTGAAGCTGTCGGCGAAGAGAGATCCGTCCACAGGGACTGCCGTGAAATTCCTGGCAATGGGAAGTTGCGCAGCCACGATCGCTGAGCCCAAGTAGTGTCCGTGATTGGCGTCTGGCGGGTATTCCTGCCACTTGAGGAAGATGTAGTCGAAGTGGATGGACATTTCGACTGTTGATCGTGCCGGCAGACGGAAAGCCACTTCCAGGTGATAAGCACGCTGTCTCTGCCGACCAGGAATGTACTTTATGGTTGCTGGACGGATCACTTGGCCATTCGCCAGTTTCAGTGTGAGTGTGTGCAGATAGATGGGAACGAACCAGGGAATATTCTCCTGCACAATCACATTCAACTCTGCCCAGTGTGTGTTAACGATTTTCGTGACAATCCTGCCGCGCTCCTGACCAACGCCCAGAATGTATCGCTTTGCGTAGAGCGGCGGAGGCGATGCCAGGGTCACTGAAGGCTTGGCTTCTTCTCGCCGGACAGCCGCCAAGTTGAACATTCGCCCGGGAATCTCTTTTTTGATGTCATAGACGGCGAAAGTCGTCTCAATGCCGCCTCTCTTGGACGTGACAGTGTTTTCTGGAGGCGGAGAGAAGTCCAAATGGCCGCAATGAGTCATATCGAGGTAAATTTTGCTGGATTCAGCCAACGGACATGATCCGCTCAAGCCCTGACCAAAGAGTTTTCTCACCGACCAATCCTTGCCACCCAAGACAATCTGATCGTACACTAAGTTCACTGTCTGCTTGATCTCCAGCGTCTTTCTTGGGCTTCTCGCTGAGCTTAGCTGCCTCACGTGAATGCCCAAAGAATGGTAATTCGTCACGTGTATGTGATGAGAGTTCAGCAGAGACAAGAATCCCTCTTTGTGGCCACAAGGAAGGAGTTTCTTCCACGGCGTCAAGTTCTCCGTGCACACAACCTCATGCGGCAGCGTTGAGTATCGCACAAAACTGGAATTCACCGGCAGTGAGGAGTAGAACTGTGGTCTGATGGTGAAATGAGGCTGAACAGTATTGGTATCGTCAATAAATCCAAGTGAGGCACAGAGCAATCCTGATAGCGTGGCCACCAGATTCCTCCACTGTTCATCAATTCTCTGTGGAGTATTCTGGTCATTCTGTGCATCAAACCAAGCCCAAACTTCAGCACCCGGACCCGCTTCAACAACCGGATAACCCCAACTCTCATATCTCCACAGGACATTCGTGAGGCTCACATGCAACTCCCGCAGGCTATACACGTGGAAGATTTCAGCCAGGGATCGTGGAGCCAGGTGAGTGTGATGAACTGTGAAGAAAGATGAGGAGTTGATTAATAAGTTGATAAGGAAAATTTTTAATGATTGTCACTAGCAATCACTCACGATCTCCCTTATCGCTGTAGTGCCATTTGGTGGTGAATTGGAAGAATGTGTTGATATGTCCACTGGGCAGAGGCTTGACGAAGAGTTCCTCGTGGAATTCGTCCTGATATCCCACTCCGAGCGCCAATTTAACGGAAAATAGGAGGAGGAGCACAAACCAAAACATCATTCTTTGCTCCATTTCTCGGAAATGAGTCGGGAGTCGGGAAATTCTCGCCCCGGCGTCGCGCAGCGCCTCTTGCGGAAACTCTCAGCGGCCTTCACATTGTCCCAACATCAAAGTGACATTTCGCAAAAGCGGAGAAAAGATGGCCGCCGTCGTTGTGTCATCCGTAATTATTTTGGTTTAAAAATCACCTAGAAATAGTGGAAATCTCATGAAAATCACACCAAAAAGTGTAAGTACAGCTACCGTGGAGTGTCACACGTAGAGTAGTGATGGGGGACTGAGGGTGGGATGAGGATTTTGGGGTGTTTTCAATGTCGTCTCATTGTGTGCCTCACTGTGGGGGAATTTTTCTGTGTCTCATGAGGACTTGGAGCATGAATCACACACTTGGGCGCCCTCAGAGTCCATCCAGACGCCTTCGGTGGCTCCGTTGTGGGCGCCAAGGGAGTGTGAAAGTAGTCCGGAGGGACGGGAAGAGGAGACTAATTGGGACAATTGAGCGGAAGTTTGCTTCCCGTTTGGCTCAGAGACAATCTCTCTCTCTTCAGGTCTCACGAGAGGGAATTCCCGGATGGATTCCTGTTTTGAGAGTGTATGGATGACTGTTGGCTTCCTCTCTTTGGAGGGTTGCTGAGGAAAAGCCTCGAGCGCGTGAAATTGCGCCCATTGCGTCGATTGATTGGGAAATGGAACGGAAAAGAGCACCCAAAGACCTTGCCCGGAAATTTCGCCTGCAATTTTAACGCCTCTGCCCCACTCACACCCACAGTGTCGGTGTGTTGGGGACCTGGGGAATATCGGGCGAAGCACTGACGAATGGGTGGCAATGTGGTAATTTCTCATTCACACTCGCGCATTTTCGTGACAATAATTAATTTGGGCCTGCTTGAAAAAAGAGTCTCTCTCTCGGTATCATCTGGGTGGTATTTTCATGTACGCCAACATTATCGCTGGGTGACTGCTTCACGGACACTGGCTCTGCCTCTCTTCAGCTCGTCCGCATCTCGTGGCGCCTTCGTCTGGCCACGGGCGCGCTCTCGCGAGAGTCTCTCTCTCGCTCTCGCGGCCCGAGCAACGGCGACGGTCTTCATCTCAGTCCCTCAACCATGTGCAGAGTCGTTGCTTTTCCGCTGTCTTCACGCTTTCCCGCCGTTCCTTGAGCCCCTGCAGCCCCGCGAAGAGGCTTCCTGACTCAGCATTCGACACAATCTCGCTTCGAGATCTTTCCAGGAATCGCATCCACTCTCAGATTACCTCTCGTCTGCATGGTGCAGTGCACAATCGATTTTTTATCTCCTCTCGTCAGTCAGACAAGGGCGCAGGGAAGTAGGGGCCGAAGGGGACTGAGCCCTCGGTGGCTCAGTGGTGTAATCAAGGCAGAAGTTTTAGTGGGGTTCACGTCAAGGCCAAAAAGTTATTGCTTTACAATTGCTTTTATTTTATTAGATTCTCAACCTAAAATTGCAAAAGCAGCCGTCAGGGATACTCATTTAGGACGTTTGAAAGAAGGAAAAGCACTTTTGCCTCTCTCACTGTAGCTCTGAAGCATTGGCTAATCCACCGAATATGCCAATGATCACAATTGCGAACAGTCAAATTCTCAAGCTACGCCCATGTCAAATGTCCTCGCAATTGTTGATTTCGTCCCGCAAAAGTCTTTCTTTCACCAAATTGTGTAATTTCTGCGCAATCTCCACAAAGTCTGTGTGTGTGAGCATCTATTTTCGTTGTGGATCAAAATCCAGAGAAATTGCATCATCACGAGTCTCCCCAATCTTATTCCCACGTTGCGTGTGTCTTCCAGAAAAAAAGTCAGCACCCTCTCGACACTTGACCTCCGGAGCTGAGCATAATTGCTCTTTGGCGAAGTGTTTTACGGTGTCTCCGACTGAGCGAGTTGTATTTTTATCACAATTTCATTTGGGAATGTAATTGTGAAACACTTTTAGCGATCACTGCGGGATTATATAGACAAAGAATCACTCAGAAGTCTTGCCGTTTTGGTGTCGCACATGTGAATGTACTTATGGAAGATATGTTTGTGGCTTATTTTGACTATTTTTCAGTGTCAACACACTAAATGCGTTTTCAGCCAATTTACCTTCTGCGACAAATGTGAGGCGCATACATAGTGTATCATAATACAGAGGATTGACTCTGTTTGAGGCGAACATTTTTGTATGCTCGAATTTTATAATCACAACTCAGGCGAAGAAAATTAGAGAATACTTTCTTTCTGACCTAATAAGGAATGTCTTAGGGAATTTCTTGTGAATTTCCTCCAAAGAAGTCAAATTTTGCGTAAATTAAGGAGAGCGCGTGTTTATCAATGTCCTTTGCTTGAAATTGAGACAAGACAATGCGACACAATGTGATTGTAATACGAAAAATTGTATTACATTATTTGTTCATGTAATTACACCTTGAATAATAACTGTAATAATTGGAACCATTAAATTCTAAAGTTCCCCGTTGAGAACCCTTTGTGGGTCATTAAACCCTAAAATCATACCGAAATGTCAGGAAAAAAATGGCAAACGACATTCCTAGTTGCCTATCGAGCTCACAGATCTGACCATGAATGGAAAAAATGTGGTGATAAGAGTTTTATTATCATGTTTGCAGTGGGCATTAACCTAATGATAAGTTTGCTGAAGGGCTCCAAATGTGTGTGGTTGTTTTTCGTGGAAATTGCCATGTTTTCAGTAAACACGTTCTGAGATGTTCAAAGATAATGTTATGGCTTTTAAAAGATGAAATAATCGTCATCATAATTTGCATCGAAATTTGCAAGTTACGATGATTTGAAGAGTTGCTTTATCCTTGTGACAGAGAGCTAATTAGGAGAGCGAGAGAGAGACAAAGACGCGTGAGAGTGTGACTATATTTTTTTTCAAGAGGTGTTCGGTCAGGAACAAAGGCTGTGAGTCAGATGATATACAATCTGCGTGACTCCCGCGTATGTCTTGTGATGGAAGTTGAACTGCTGTTTCGGTTATACATGGATTTGTGCTCCGCTCCGTTTTTTTCGCTCTTCCGCATGTGACCGTCATTGACAACGTAATACATGGGTTGTTGCATGTGAATTATCTTATCGGGGTGGCACACGAAGAGATTGACTGTATTGTGTGACCTCAGCTGGGGAATCTTATCAGCTATTCAGAGGAATAACTTGTGCCGATGGCGGAGAAGATGATAAGTGCGGAGGAGAGTTGATTACATGGCGGGAGAGAGTTCAGTTGATTTCCAAGAATTTCCCATTAGAAAATGTTTAGTTGGAGTTTGGAATTGAGAAGAGATTTTTATCGGTGAAAAAAAAAAAGATTATTTTGTTTATGCTTTACTTGTGATCGCGCTAAAAAAAACTGAGTGTAGAAGAACCCGTATTCTGAGGGGAAAAGGGATTGATAGAACTTCACATTTTGTATACTCAAGTTAAGCTTCCAATCAAAAGCTCAAATTTACATAAGCTAAGCAGCGGGGATGCTTATCACGTGCTCTTAGTTGTTATTGACTGGTGATTTTTCTTCTTTCAGATTCATCCGCAGTACTTTGCTGATAAGGACAGAGAAGTGTAAGATCCTAGAGAGTGCTTTATGTTGGTGGCCAGAACTGACTGAAATTCTGACTGCTGCTTTGAGGGAAGAGAAGTGTGTGGAGAGCTGAAGTGAAGTGGAGGGAAGAAATACTATGACCAAGAGGTGAAGGAGAGTGACGTGTTCAGTGAATGAATCAATAGGCAAAGTCAAAAAGAGAGACACAACAGTCGACAGAATATAGAGAGTGTTTTTGAGGTCAAGAGAATCACCGGAAATCGAAGGGATTGTGCGTGTGTGTGTGTGTGTGCAAAGGCGGTCGCTTCCGCGAAAGGGACCCTCATTCTTTAATGTTTAGCCTGGGTGGCGAGAGTGGAATGGCTACGCTGCTGCAGCAAAAGAGCTGCATGAAAACATTGGCGAATGGGGGTGGAAATGGTGCCACTGGGGCTTCTGGTACGGCCACAACGTCCGTACTGTTACCCCATGAGCTGGTCAACATGCCGGCAACGCAGGGCGGCGGTCAGATGGTTCAGGAGCAGTCGGTGTCCACGCAGTCGTATCACCAGCAGCAGTTCACCAATTTCATCCAATACAACAACTACACGAACTTTACCCCGCCAACAGCTTATCAGGTGGTCAATAGCAGTAGCATATTGAACCATCCGCACCAGCAAGCGCTAAGCCAAAGCATCATGACACCTGCGGAGTCTAATATCGTGATAATCTCGCCGGACAGCCTGGCCAATGGCGGCGCGGAGGGACACGCAGAGCAGGACATCATTGAGGAGGACGACGACATGGATCACGTGGCGGAGAGCAAGCCGGACGACTGCGAGAGTGCCAATGGCGTGAAGGAGCCAACAGCAATGGCCGAGGAGGAGGCTGAGCCTGAAGTTGACATAGTTATTAATAATGTTGTGTGTTCATTTAGTGTTAGGTGTCATCTGAATTTGCGCGAAATCGCTCTGAATGGTTTTAATGTGGAATTCAGGCGGGAGAATGGAATGGTGACGATGAAACTCAGACGTCCCTACACGACAGCGTCTATTTGGTCGTCTGGGAAGATCACATGCACGGGTTCCACATCTGAGGATCAGGTGAGAGGAGAAGAAGAAGAAGAAGAAGAAAAACCCACTTTCTCAATAGAAAGTGCTTAAAAGTGACTGATGTTGGATTTTCCCCTTAATTCACTAGGCGAAGATTGCAGCGAGACGCTATGCTAGATGCCTTCAGAAATTAGGTTTTAATGTTAGGTTCAGCAATTTTCGCGTGGTGAACGTGTTGGGCACGTGCAGCATGCCGTGGGGCATAAAAATTGTCAATTTTTCGGAGAAGTACAGGAAAGAGGCGAGTTATGAGCCTGAACTCCATCCTGGCGTCACGTATAAGCTCAAAACACCTAAAGCAACACTGAAGATCTTTTCAACAGGAAGCATCACTGTCACTGGTATGATGAAGTCATCTGTGCTCTCTTGACGAGGAGTTTATAATCGTCTTTTTTCGCATTATTTTCCCACCAAAGCTGGAAGTGTAGCGAATGTTCAGGCGGCCATAGAGCATATTTTCCCGCTGGTGTATGAGTTCCGGAAGGCGAGAGTGCCGATTGATCCCACAACAACAACAACAACAACAACAACCACAGCTGAGCCTTTGAGTGAGGCGTGCGAAGAATCAATGGACCAACATTCCGCGAAGCGACGGAAGAAGATGAAGAGGCCCTTCGGGAGGACTGCCAATGATCCCACGGACAACATTATGTACGTCTCCGATGCGGAGGAATATGATGTGAGTGTTTCTATAGACAGAAAAGTACTGCAAATTTGTTTTTTATCAGTATAATTTAACTCTTCGTAGGCTCTGAATGTCTTTTATGTCCTACGCGTAATCAAACAAGTATATCAACATAGTCTGATGTTTGAGAAATACTCGCAGGTCAATGGCCTTGCAGTCTAATCTTCCTGTTTCTTTTGTAGATTTTTGGAAAAAATCATCATATTAATTGAATTTACAGTTTGACTGAGTTTGTAAATCTTTCCAATAATTACAGTTCCTTGCTTTTGACTGATCAATTGAACTTCTATTTTAATGTGATGATGGAAAATACTAATTTTGAAAAGAATTCACATCATTTAGGACAACAAAGTTAATCGTAGTGTTTTTTTTGTAAATCCCGTTTAGTAAGAAAGCGATTTGCTATGAAATTATGCACCGTAATTTCCATGTGTAATCAAATAGTATTTGGAATAAGAATTGATGAAGCAATTGCGATATCTGTTTGCTATATAATTTATAGCAATTTCGTTTGTACATATAATATGATAATGGAGAAAATCGAGTGTATTTAATTGGCATTGTACATTGATTGTTAAATTAATTGCGAATATTTTCTTTATCTCATTAAATTAATCTATTGCATCCATCATTTTTTCTCTTTGCAGTAAGACAACAACTGTGCTTCGCCACGAGAAGAATCCATTTTGAGAGGGGAAAGAGAGAGAGAGAGAAATTGTCTTTGTTTCTTGTAAATCAATCCACCGTTTGCTGTTCCAATGACTTTTCCTAAATGTTAGTGAGAAACAAAACTGCTGAAATATCTCGATGAGGAGGGAGATGATAAGGAATTTGTGTAAGAGAGCAAAAGAGATGCGAGGTGAGACATTTTAATGCAATGCAGAGCAATTTTGTGTGAATTGCAAACATGTTTTTATTAGAATTCATGTTGGAAAGAAGTCAAATATTGAGCAACATTAATGCATACAATCTTCTCCGAATCGTGCGGGAAAAGAGAGAAGAAAACACGAGAAAAATGATAAAGATGATAGAGTAACATGAATTATTGTGTAATAAGGTGTATCTGAAGAACATTGCTAATTATTCTAGTGTAAACTTCATTATTTAAATTCATGCTTTATGATATTATCGACACAATAAGGGGGAAAATCTACATTGGAGAAAAGTCCATGAAGAGAAAAGTAAATGAACGTTTGTGTAAAAAGAAATGAAATGACATTTTGTGTTCTTTCATTTTGGGCCAAACATTGCGCAGAGAAAATGTTAGAAGAGAAGATGTAGAAAAATGAATATTTATTGTTGCTTTTCGTTCATCATCAACTCTTGTCTTTCTATTCCGTTCTTTTTCCTTTGCCACACTTAAGAGAGAGAAAAAAAGTGATTGTATTGTGAGTGAATCTTTGTGATTAGTCACAATTTCAGCTGAATTTATTTCCTTTTCATGCATTGAAGAATGAAATATGAAGGAATTAATGAATAAGTAATAAATGTAAAGCGATGTTTTATAAATAGAAATGAAGAATCACTAAATAATTCAATAAGAAGAGGTGAAAAGATGTGAGGGAGTGAGAAAAATTGGGCGAGAAGTGGAGGAAAAGATGTGTTAATCATTGCATCTCTGTTGCGAGTATTTCAACCAACACAAACACAAGATACAAAGAAAGAAATATACTTGGAAATATATAAAGATTTACTTTGAAAAAAAAAAAGGACAAATAAGGAAAAATAATGGTGGAATAGAAAATGTTTAGTAATAATTAAAGCGAATTCATAAAGTGCTTTTAACAATGACGAAGAAGAGGAAGGAATTATGAGGAATTGTTATAGAAAAGAGATCTTAAAGTGTTGCTACGATATTTTCTACTATTGTCTTCACTCTGACTTCTTCCCTTTGAAATAACAAAACAGACACGAAAAATCTATGAGGAAATCTTTGTTGAAAAGTAAATCACAACATTTCATGAATACACCTTTCTCATATTTATGCTCATATCGTAAATCAATCATATCTTAACGTTTATTTTCTTATTTCATTCAATTATATTACGGTTATCATTTTGAGGACCAAGGAAATATACATGTTAAATCACTTTGAAATTATTTTCTACGCATTTTCGTAAATATATATATTTTATCCAAATGATATTCCTCACAAAATCATTCTTTATCACGCACATTTCTTTTCATTTGTTCTCTTTCAAACACAGAAATTGAAGACCAAAGACTTGAAGTAATTTCTGAATAAGGTTTTATCATCATTCACTCTTGAACTTTAACATTTTTCCACACTACCAGAATATACCTTAAACATTTAACACTTTTTTCTACACACACACACACACACAGACACAAAGTGGTAATGATGATAAATTGTACGATCTAGTGCCAATTGATAGTAATGACAAGAATATGAAGAGTAGAAATAAGAAAGTTTAGCATCTGAAGATGCGTAAGAAAGTGAGGGAAAAGTTAGTTTAAGTGGAAGAAGAGAAAAAACCATAATTTATTGAGAAGTGTAAGAGAATTAGTAAGGATAACCATAGAAGATATATTATCAAGAAAAGAATATTTTAAAGCGTGATGTGTTAGGATTATGAATTTAAAGCAAAACCTCTCACGATTGATATTAAGTAAGGAAAATATTGATGAAATCAGTGATCCCAAAAAGCAAATGTGGAGGTGATTCGACATGGCAGAAATTTGATTCATTCCAGCGCAATTCATCAAGTCTCCAGGATCCATTAATTCACTGAACAATGATTTTTTTTATTGTGAAAAAAAAATTCCCTGTCAATTGAAGAAATGAAGAGTTGACGGACAGTTTTTCTTATACTACTATAGGTGCATTTTCCCCATGACAAAACTCTACGAACACTGTTGGAGACTTTCATGTGCGCACAGGCGAACTGTTAAAAACTTGACAGTTTTACATACAATGAACTGATTTTGCCTAGATTTACACTACATACTTATTACTTAATGTGTCCTCACAGTCTCCTCAAATAGAGAGAAAAGGAACATATATTAAGACAGAGATTAGCAGTTGAGTTAGACACAAAATTGGTGTCAAAATTGAAACACGCCTAAAATTTATATGCAAAAAGTGAGAATTTCTAGTTTGAAATAAGTAAAAGCAGCAAAAATTTAAAGATAGTAAATTTATTAAAGAAAAATGAGGAATCAGAAGTAATGGAAATAAATAATAAAATAATTTGTCCACTGCTCATCTCTGTGTTAAGATTCCTGTAGATAAATTCCCGATAATTTAGTGTTAACTATTTATTTTTAATTTATTACTTAAAATACGCCAGCCAGTTTAAAAAATTTAACTAGAATTTGTGCGTAACTCTTAAGATCTTTGGTAGACTTCGTGAATGAGTTTTATTTCTGCTCAAGTGTGTTTATTGAATGCCTCCAGTTAAAAAAACATGATTAGTGAACAAATGTGCGACTCTTGTAGCAATATTATTTATTTATTATTGCATCACTTAACGGAAACTCGTAAATGAGATGAAACGAAAGAGAGGAGGAAAATCTACCCATTCAAAAGTACCAATAAATAAATATAAATGTACGTAAAGTATAAGGAATAGCGAGGGAAGTGTTTATGATGCTACAATTTGTATTATCAAAGATTAAACGAAAGGCATTTTTATTATCAGTTATTTCGTTTATTTTTTTTGTTTTCACTTTCAAAAGAATGGTGACTGTTTATGAATCACGACGAGAAAAGAATTTTGAAGCAAACGATCGTGCAATTAGTTATAAAATGAGAGTAGGATTTTAAGGATTCTGTCTGGGGTGGAAAATAAAACTATACGACAAATGGGAATTATAATGAAGATAGTGGAGGAAAAACTGGTGAAAAAGCCTGTGAATTGACTGATGAATATTTTATAAAAACAAAACGAGAAAATCTAAAAGAAAAAATAAAATGTTTCCAAATAAGTGCTGAAGCAAGTAAATGACTTTTAAATGTAAAGAAAAGGAGAGAAAACATAGCAGATGAATTACACAAAAGCATCAAAACCAAATAAAATTAAGTAGTTTAAGGATATTGAAAGAAAAGAAGATGAGATAATCTGCATGTGAATGTACGTGTTCTAACTCTGTAAATCTTTTCTTTCAATTAGCCCGATTTATTTAAGTTACTATTCTCACAAATTTCGTGAAAGTAATATTAAATATTGAAGCAAAAAGAGTAATTTGTGGAAAAAAAACATGATCAAATTAATCGGAATAATGTTATTTACTTTGTATTAATCGCGTAAATATCGCCTAAAATATTTCTACTTCAATTACGATAACGAACATTACCTATTTTCCAGCAAGGTGTGTTTTTTCAGTGAGGAAAAGAAGTAATTTACAAATGAAAAAAGGAAAACAAACGTGAATAACTTGTTGATAGACAAAGAAAGGATGGAAATAAATTGAATTATATGAATTAGGCCTTGTGTATGAGAGCAATTTTCTTCTTGAAGATTGGATGATGAAAAATCAAAGTGAATATAATTTTATAGGTATTGAAAAAAAGAGGAAAGAAAACACCAAGAATTCTAATAAAAGTTCTTGACTATGAAATTTGGCGAGAATTTGTATATTTCTATTAATCAACAATGTCAACAATTACTAGGAATATAATGGGGAGATAACAAATAACAATGTACTGTAAATGTTTTATCTTTTTAGTTTTTAAATGAGAAATATGAAAAATAATAATTTTTTTCTGAAATCGTTCGTTTTACTCTGACGAATTCAAAAAGACTACCTGTGTGTGACGACCTCTGGTAGGAACGTTCTGCAACGGCGTGGTGAAAATTAAGCTGTCAAATGTGGTGATCAACTGAAGATTTTACCAACAAGAAATTCAATGCAAAAACTGCTTTTCCTACACATAGGATGTAAAAATGTACCAAACTTCGTCGGAAACTAAGAATTTTCCTAAATATTCGAATTTACTTGTGCATCAGAATTCCACGGTAAATCATATAAATTTATCTATGATGTACTAATGGTGCGAGTGAGGGTGAAAAACACCGCAATGGTGAAAACTTCAGCGAAGTCAGGAATTCTGTCAAGTGGTGGAAACACAGCGGAGTGTTTGTTGTGAGGAAAACTACGAAAAACCAATGAAACACTTGCAAAAGTGGTGCAAAAAGTATTGTGGAAGCTGCATTGGACATCTGAGGTGTGAAAAAGTGTGGCAGAGGTGAGCCTTTAGGTGGAAATAGTGTGAAGAAGCGCCCCGAAAATTGGACTTGTGCAGCATAGACGAGTTGTTTTCGTGCGCGAAGAAAGATGGATGCGACGTTTTTGTGAATGAACACACTTTTCACCCATTTTTCCAAGTGAATTAGCCATACTCACGATCGCCATCCGTACGCCAATTGAAGCGTAAATTGATATTATCACGGCAGTGACGGAAAACTCATCTCTGGATATTTCGGTGGACAAGAAGTGAAAGAGATCTCGGGAAAGTCATCTGAAGAAGCAGTGGGAAACCTTCTGGGCAGTCAATAATCCGCACAAGTGATTTGTTACCTCGGCGAAGCCGCAAAATGCCTCATATTCTTGAGGCGCTTTGAGCAATTTCGCTTCGCGGCCGCCATCTTTTCTCCTGTCCATTGCTTGAGAGACTCTTCTTCTTTCTCTGGCATCTTTCCGGACATCAATTCCGTCAATTTCATCGGGCGACCTCTTTGTCAGCCATCGAGCAGTCCTCCATCTTCTGCGGATGTTCCGTTCCAGTGAAATTCGCTTGGAAAACTCGCGTGTGCTTTAGAGACACTTTTCCTGTGGCAATAGCTCAAAATTGATTTCCAAAGTGAAAAAGACTCCTTTGAGTGCTTGAGAGTGACGAAGAGTGGTCAGTTTGTGTGCGGAGAGAGTCATCAGGAGAATCTCATCAATTTTCCGGACGCTGTTCAGCCATTCTGTTGAAAGTGAGTGATTTTCCCAGTCAATTCCCCTGAAAAGTTCGAGACAATTGTGGGTGTTGCCCGGGTGGAAATCTCTGCCCTCTCCTCAGATATCGTGCACACGAGCAACATCTCTGTCTTCAGCCTTGAGAAGTATTTGAGGCGCGAGAAGAGAGGCAAAAACGAAGGCAGCGACAGAAGTTTCTGCAAGTGCGAAGATGGCAAGAAAAGTCTTTGTTAACACGGCGACATACAATCGATAAATTCCACTCCGGAATTGTCTCGAAATTTTCACGCCAGACACGATGAGAGAGTCCCACATTTTGGGTCTATTTGTAGATTTCCTCGGGAAGAGGAAAAGTGTCTCAAAGGTGACAAAATTTGTCACCAGATGAATGACTTTAACGCGTCTTCTTCGGTTTGTCCACAGATCAAATGGGGCTGCATTGGAGCCTGAGGGATGACTGATCGACGACGTTATTCCGGTGGAGGTGAGTTGGCTTTCAGATTGAATCCTAAGCACCCGAGACCAGAGCAAATATTTAGAAAATTCCAGATCTTGCAGGGATAATCAAGACTTGTAAACTTTCTTCTCCTTCGTAGATAGACATCGGTAGAATTTGAATAAGATTTACGGAAAAGCCAATGGGAATTATGGCCGCATTTGTGTCCCACTAATACAAATTTCTAGAAAAGGGTTCTATCGATAAACACACATGTTAAAAATTTGTAGAAACATCAATGAGACAACAAATTTAGTCATTGTTTACCCGGAAAATAATTCTGGTTCATTCGAAATAAATAGCAAAAGTAGAACTCGTGCAGAAAGTCAGTTAAGCAGTGTAGAAAAAAGTGTTCAGCTGCCAAAACTAAGAAGGATTCTCAAAGTCACGGAGGATCTTCTTTATTAATGATGAAAATTGGTTGTCCAGAAACCTTGTGTACTCTTATAAAAATGGTTTAAACAATAATAGTAAAAAGAACACAGAGTGTAAAAGAATCTACGGCTAACGTAGGGAGTGTCCTCTATTTAAGATACAGCTTCAAATTGAATTAGCTACAAATCCCAACTCCATGATAAGTTTAACTACGCATATGCTTTTATCAGCATTTTTTATAACCTAATATCGCAATTTGAAATCGGGTTCATGGATTTGGGCTTAAGGAGTGACTTTTTTCAGTTGATCGTTCAGTGGATTAACTGCAAATGTGTGAAATTCTTTTGAAAAGCCATCCTTATAAATCTGGTGTATTTTATTGCTATGTGTTTTGTCTCTTTGTCATAAGTCATCTTGAAATGATTACGTCTTGGCATTTGGGAGAAGTTTATCCACGTCAAACATGGTGAATTTTCGTGAGAATTGCATGTCACATATTTTGTGCCTTAACATAGCGAAGTGCTCTCGTGAGATTAAATCCCGCAATATTTCTATCGTTCACTCTATGTTTCGCTCTCTCTCTCTCCCTCTCTCTGCTCAGCTTTTTAATACATAGAAATTGAGCATCTAGATAATAATGAGAGAGCCAAGAAGGAGAGAATGATGGTAATTTTCTAGTATTTAATTTAACGAATACAGCAAGGCTTTTTCCTCTCACACTGAGAATTGAGTGTGTAATTCGCCATTAAATTGCTGGGTATCTCACGAAGTGGCTCTCTTGGATGTAAGGAGGGATTGTGTGTGCATTTGCGCGAGAGACAGATTGAGTATCAATGCTTGTGTTGGTGTGAACAGAAAAACACAAATATGTTTGCAAAATTTGATAATAAAATACCAAATACACAAATAACTAATTATCTTTTTTAACTGACACCCATTTACATGTCACACACCATCAGAAACACACGCGAAAAGCCACACACATCGTGTGTCAGTGCGAATGAAGTAAATTGTGACGTGTGTTGAATGGGGAATAAATAACAAATTGGTGTGTTTGCTGAAATGTATTTTATTCACAAAATTTTTATTGTTAAATTAACGGATATTAATTCATGTGATATGCACATTTTTGCGCTTTTTGTGATTTCGATGAGATTGTTGATGGTTTCGGCTGAAAGCTGCAGGGAAAACAAGGCTTAATGTGAGGCGAGAATTTAATCAGTGTGTTTTTCAGTACGATTAAATGGTGCTACAATTATCATTTAATTGATTAAAATCACACAATCGGAGTGGCTATTTTTAGAGCAAGAGCATACTTGAGGCGTTTGCGGTGTGACGACGCGCGAGAGGGACTGTCAAAAAGTGAGACAGAATAGAATTTATAGAAGGAACTCATTGTGGGCTGGAGAGAGATGAACGTGCTTGGCTTTTGATTACAATATTTTACCAATGTAGTGGAAAATTTTTATAAATTACGCGGATTTATTTCACTCGCTCTTCACCTTATTCTTTTTTTTTCTTTTATTACTTGCTGCGCTAATTCTTCGACAGAAGAGAGACTAATAAAGTTTTCGACGAATATTTTTGCCGTGTGGAATATTTCCATTCACTTTGTGTGCGCGTCACTAGAGTGCGATTTATGATAAGGAGAGAAATGCTATGGCAGGAAGATTAGAAATTCTTTTATTCACTCGGAAGTGATAATGGTTTTTATGATTACAAAAGTGTCTCTTATAATTATTTGGACAGGTGCTGCGGTGAAAATGGAACATTTCCAGGCCGCATTGGACCCCCGAAAGCAGGAATTACTCGAAGCTCGCTTTCTCGGCGCTCGGGTGAGTTTTTGTTCTATATCCAAAATCTAGAAAACTGATTTTTCCCATCCATTTCATTGATATTGTTCGCTGAAGAGCAGGGAAAATTGAAAATGGGGCACGGAAAAAGAGAGTTTCAGGCGTTATCGATTTCTTTTGAGCCCAAAGAGAATCAGTTTCACTCGTCTTATCGATATATAAAAGAGTGGAAATCACCTTTAGAAAAGAGGGGAAAATATTTGTTGGGCGCCGATAGAGAAATGTGAAACCGTGATAGTCTATTTTTGACCCCCAAACCAATCGTCTATCAACATAAAGATACTTAAATCGATGGTCATTTGTTGTTCTGCAATGAAGTAAATTTTTCTTCGAGTGCAAATAAGTCATTTTCGTATTGTTAAGGAGTGAATTATTTGAAGTATTTTTATAAATTCAACTCTCTATAGCTATGAAAATGGGTGTGTAAGTGTTTGTTGAGTTGCCAATGATTAGCAACGACCCTCAAGTAGAAATACAATTGTGAATATTTAGTGGCGAAGAGGAGTGAATCTGTTTTCCTCTCTCTGTGTGTACGACAAAATGACTATGGAAACGTTATGGCGAGCAAAACAATTCACACAGCGTAGATTTCTCGAAATAATTTTCAATGATTGTCCAATATTCCTACTCAAGTGTCGCCTCAATGAGAATATTGTATTTGCATTGAGACTGGAGATGATCTCACAGAATTATATTGTTGAACAGAACAGTATTATCTTGCCAAGTTAACCCTTGACGTTTCCGAAAATTTAGTAATTTACATCGTAACTTATCAGAATTTCTTAATCTCGCGATTAAATTAATGCATCTTTGCCCATGAATTGTTTTCTCTACTGACAGTCAAGTTAGTTTTTTATTATCAGATAAAAACCGCATTATAAACATCGTGAATTTGAAGAAAATTGAAACATTTAAATTGGGTCTATTTCTATATATTGAAATTTTATTTCAACAACAATGCAAGATTATCAACTATGTAGACATTTTTTGCCTCTGCATTTGAAATTTTTATAGCGAATGAGATAGAAATTATCTTATCGATTAGAGTTATGGTGCAACTCTGGTGTGCGCGATTTTCATGTAATTTTCTCATCATCTCTTTCTCTCTCTCTCGCTCTCTCTCTCAAGTGAGGCAAACAACTCAATCTTGTGTGTTCAAGCTGAAATGTATATTAATATATTTGTGATGTGATGTTTGAAATGCGAAAGAAGATGAAAAAAACTGTACATTGACGTGGCATTTTATATGGTGGTGAAGTGTTCGTATTGGCAGCAAGTTGGCTGTTTAGGCCATTGCAATAAATTGTACACAAACTGTGTGTAATTTTTTTCATAATGTGTATAAAGAGAGAAAAAAGACAACGAGTGAACAGGCACAAAGAGATGAATGGAGGAAAAAAGAAGAAACCTGAATAAACCACTCGGTAATTTTGATGTTTTAGAGAGAGAAGAAGAAATAGGAGACGAAGATGATGTTGTGTAAAGAAGAGGGGCGAAGATCAGAAGAAGAAAAATAACTTTGGTAAAAGAATCGTTTCACGGATATTTTGATGGCATATGGAAATTTTGAAGAAATTCGATGGTATTGGGGAAAAAATGCCAAAGTATTTTTATCAGGGAGTTTCGAGAATGTTGGAAGAAAATCGATAAGATGATTGAATTTGAAGAGCATTTAGTGGCTTCGATAGAGGCGAAGCTTTTGAAGTACAGTCAATTCTCACAAGGTGAACTTGAATATATAGTTGTCAGTTTTTTCACCTTATTTTTTCCCCATTTGTCTCTCATACGCACACCATCGCAAATAATTATCCATCATCTTTCGCGTTGTTTTCTCCTTTGCGCGAATTTGCGTTTTTCTTTTGGGCTCTTTGGTTTTGGAAGACGGTAAAAAAAGAGAACAGCCAACACATAAAATTGTCTCAAATTAATACGGCAAAATCTCATGGATTTGTGAAGGTAGAATATGTATTTCGACCCGATCCGTCCAAGTAGGAGATAAAATTCAAATTATGTGCCTCAAACGATTGCTATATTCGCGTGGTTAAGTGACGAAGAAGCGTCTGAAGCTGCGAGAAGAAGAATTGATTATGTGATTTTGATGAAAAGGTGTGGTGCAGTTTTATTTAAAAGAGTTTTTTAACAGTGCAATCTCACTTAAAAGCTTCCCAATGATGACCCACGAATGATGGCAACTATACAGTTGAAGAACAGCGATATACGAAGCTTACATACATAAAATAATACGTCAGTTATAAATTATTAATTTAATCGGATGTATTGCCGTCTTCTCTTTCTCTCTCTCTCTCTCTCTCTTTTCAAAATGAAGCGTTTGCTTCGTCGTTATTGTTTTTTTTTTTTTTGAGGTGTATAATTACAATTCAGAGGTAAGAAAGTCACGCAATATATGTTGCCTTTTCTCTCTCTTTTTTCCCTCTTGAGAGCCAGTTAGTTTTCTTTTCGCTGGGCTGAAAAGCCAATTTTTGTGGATCTCTTTCTTGGTGAAGAGGTGTACAATGCACTGGGGTATCTAATAATAAATGCACACTAATGAGAAGTTTATTTTCTTATGGCCTCGCCATACAAAATGGTGGATGACGTTTTTCGGCAGGAGAAATATAGATAGAGAGAGAAATTCCATGGAAAATTTAGAGCAAGTGCCATGCTATAGGAATTTTCCTCGACACGACAGCAATCGCAAAAATTTCAACGATCTTTCAATGTACGTACGAAATTATTCATCATGTGATTCTATATTTTTCGTATTAGTCACTCAATGTGGTCGTAAAGTGAATTTTTGTGGAATTTCTCTTGGTTTCAGGGGCGCAGAGAAAGATTAGTCAATTCACAATGATATCGAATGTGAGGGACTCTAGGAACAAAGAAAATGTGCTAAAGGCTCCCCTATAGATTTGAAAATTGCTTGAGAATATGAGCTGAGAAAGATTCTAAAGTATTTAGACTCTTTTAGAAGTAGCTAGAATGTATTTAGTATATTCAGTGACGCCATACTAGTACGTCATGAGCTGTATTCTTTATCTTCTATCACTCAATGATTCTTTCTATATGAAACTCTTGAGATAGTCAGATAACATTGGATTTAACCTTTTTTATATTTCCAAATAATCATAAACTGTTTAGGCGAATATCAAGCAATGTACTGAAGTCGTGAAAGGGCTAAACTTTGCATGCATCATTGTATTGCACATTGATATTGTATTATTTTTTCAACCTGCTTGTTAAATGCTCATTTCTCTATCTTCTTTAATTTTCCGCGCTCTGTAGAGAAGATCAAAAAAGTCTCTTCTCCAAGGTTTCACAGCACAATTACTGAATGTATCACAAGTTTCATGGGAGATTTTCGAGTGAAGTGAGCAGTAAAGCGCGATAGTATGAAATCTCGAAGGACATTTTGGGCGTAGTCCAAGCACTTTTTTCTTCTCCTTTCTATGTCTCATTCCACATGTAGATTTAATGCAAACAACGTGCGTGGAATATTCTCTCTACACCCCCTGGAAAAATGAGGGGTTTTTGGGTGGCCAAGAGTGGGCGGATGAAATGTCTAAATATTTATCGATGGTTGACGATGATGATGAGCAAATGGTTACTTTTAATATTAGTCGTGAGAGAGTGGAACATTTACTGTGATCTTCAATGAAAATTGGCATTTTCGGGATGGCTAATTTTAGCCCAGGAATCACCTATTAATAACAATGCTTAAATAATGGCCACTTTCAAGCCAGTTTTTCCCACAGAATTAGGTGGGTGGTGCGCGCGTGGGTGTTTATGTGTCTGTGGATTTTAATGCGGACGGTTTTTCTGGACAAGAGCATATGCGAAGCGATGGGAGAGAGAAGCGTGGAAGGAGCGTAGCGAATGGGGAGCAAAATGTGGGTGATACTCTCACCCTGGCAACGCACAGTAGGTGTACACCGTGCCATCCAAAAGAGTGGAGAACACTCAGAAGGGGATGCCCAGGGTTACAGAGAGTGAAAGAGAGGTGTGGGTGTTTTGGCGACAGCACAGCGATGTTAGTTGATTTTTTTCCTCGGAGTGACATCAAAGCGAGATGGATAGAGGGCTAGAAAGGGGTGGCCCGAGGGAGAGGCAGGGTATTTGAAGGGGTGGGTGGGCAAATTTGACTATATGGTGTGATTTTCTGTGTGTATGTGTGTGTTTGGGGAGAGAATTTCCAGAGCTCTTGAATATTAAATGAAGTACCTACTGCTGCTGCTCCTGCGGGCCTTTATGTGTGCGCTTTGCTATCAAAGAAAATCGATTTTCCTCCGTGTATACTTTTCGCGCAATTCTCCCTCTCTCTTCGGATTTTTTCCTTGAAATCTGCAGCTTTTCCCATCCATACACATGTAGTAATGCCATAGTTTATATATGTGGAATGGAGTGTGTGTTGAGAGGAAAAACTCTGTGATTTTCCGCACTTCCTCTCGGTTTCTATGTCATTTGACGTTAACCCCCTCTTCGGCATTGTGGAAAAAGTGTGTGTATGTGTGGTTCTTGCACAGGCAGATTTGTGACGGCAGATGAAGGTAATAAGGAGGTTAGGACGGGAGATTGATGACGATAGAGTATATTTCCAAGGAAATGATGATGATAATGGTTGTACATGGATATTTGCTCCCGGGAGAGGAGTCCAAGGCAAACGGATTGAGTGATAAAAGGGAAATTTTTCCCTATCTACTCCTCACTCAATTTTCCCATGTGGGTAGGCATGGAAAAGCTGTTGCCATCTTTGGCTGGATACAGAGAGACAGAGAGTGGATGACTTCCCTTTATCGCAACACGATTGGTAAAAGACCATCAACCTACACATATATTTACCACCCACATTTTCCCCAGTGACGTTCTCTCGACTATGTATCGACCGGAGAAGCAAAAAGGCCAATAGCGCTTAATTCTGTTAAACGCGGTGCTTTCGGGTGGGAGAGTGAGATTTTGAAGACGAGGTGGAAGTGACTAAATGAGTC